GCGAGGCTTCTGTGCGTATAAACAAATTCCCCGCTTTCCACCCTTGCACAGTGTGTCATTGAGCCGTTTGAGCTCAAAGTTCACTGGCACAAAGGCGGTTGCCTTCCGGAACGGTTTGCCCCGGTAACTTGCCAAAAAACATACTTCTTTCGCATCACAGCAGCTAAAGGACCACAAAGCCAAATCCTGGGCTTGCGAGGATTCTCCATGGTAGCAAAAACTTGGAAAAACAAAGCTAGTCGTAGGAGCCATGCAGAAAATCTCATGAAAGCATTGCCTATCTTCACCTTCGCTTCATCTCTGGGCCGACCTTAGTGGAGGTGGTCCGGGCGGCACGTCTCGCGCCCTCGAACAACCCTCGCAAGGAGTCCCTAAATGGAAGCCTTCGATCCAGCCACATCGCAGCCATTCAGCGATCCGGTGCTGTTTAGAAGGCAGCAGAAGGCCGTACTCCTGGCCTAATGTAATGTCCCACAAAAGAACGCAGATCGAATTGTACTGACCAATGCCACGCCCCAGGCGGCCGCACCCTGAAAAAATCTCGAGAAAGACTGAAGCTGGTGAAGGCTGCATCACTTTCACGCGCAGGCTGCGCAGGGTTGCCTCTCTTCTGTGAAAGGCGGCCATGGCTGCGCTGAGTGTCTCCTTTGGCAGTTGGTGAAGCATTAGCTGGAGCCGGCCACCTTTTTGATACCGCTTGCTTTTTGGTTGACCCACTTTCACATGGCCTAACGGCCTCCGGTTTTGTCTGGACCTCGTTGACGGCGCTGAAGGCTTGCCCTGCTTTGCATTCTTCTGCGTCTTCTTCGCAGGGGTTCCGACTACTATCAGCCGGCGCAGCACCATCACTCCCAGGCACCCGGAATATTTGCTTGGGAACAAAGAGCCGCGAGACGGCCCATCCGCTGGGTTCATTTCGGATGGAATCCAGCGAAGGTTCACTGAACTACCCGACCCCAGGAGGAGAGCCCCAATTTGTTGAGTGACATGCCTAAGTCCAAAAGTCTTGCCTCTTCCTTTGCCAATCGCCCCAATTGCCGACATGTAATCAGACAAAACAAGATGCCGTTTTGAAAAACCACTCTGTCTCCCCAAAACATGTTTGATAGCATGAAGAGTTGCACGCCCCTCCAAAACCGGCATCCCTCCTGTCGCTTCCAACGATATCGACCGACGACCCGCCAAGGTGCTGCGAGCTCCCTCTCCTCCTTGGCCTTGCAAAGGTTTTTGGCCAACAGGACTTCTCTTTCTGTCTCCTCCTTTACATGCTGCAGCAATGTAGGGCACACCATGAAAGTCCCAGCCGTCCTCACCAATGAGCCGAAGACAAATTGTTCCTCCAGCGCCAGTTTTGAAGACAAGCCCATAGCCTTCGATTCTGCATCACGGGCACGCTCTGCACGCGAGTACTCGACAGTTTGCAGCCTCCGAAACATGAGCTCTGCGGAAAGGGAATTGCATCCATTGATACTATCTGTCTGCCGCAACTGTCGGAGCATGATGGAGATCTGGAAATGTTCTTAGTACCTGAGTCCAGCCTACAGACCTGTCGAAAACGCTCGTGATGCCCTTCCAATCCCAGTCCTTCAACAGAGAGAGGTAGCTCAGACACCACTTGGCAGTTCTAGGTCCATTGATCTTCCACCCAAGGTCAAACTCCTTGGCCCCAGTCGCCGCCTCAGCAAGAGGCATTTCAGGTGTCCCCATGGCATTTGACTTCCTGCTCAACAGCCTACCATCGCACAACGAAGGACGATTGTTGAACTCTGCCACCTTGAGTCATTGATGCAACAACAAAACAACTGCCGACCATCAGCCATTGGATGCACTGTCTTCGCATCAAGAACCTTTGGAGGGGCCACACCCTCGATGACCTTCCCATATCGAACACCTTCAATGCCTTCACAGCTGCAACCCAGTACAAAACACCCTGCACCAGATCTTTCACTCCATCCAGGGGCTGCGTCAGGGGTTGGGGTAGATGGGACTGCAGGCGCAGCCACCGCCGGCCCCCCCCGCAACAGCAACAACTGCTCCTGCTCCTGCACCTCCTCAACCCGCCCGTTCTGTCGCTGCCAACCTCGAAGCCTCATCTCGGATGCTTGCCACCTCAGCCGCAGTCCAATTCGGCAGACCGTAGACAGTTAGTTGCAGGGGGGATGGACGAAGACGAAACGATCGGAGGTCAGAATTGTCGGCTGACAGCTGCTCTACAAAAATGTCCCTGTCGGGGGCGCAGACCACGTACTCGTCCCCGACTACGTGATCGAGGATCATCCTTTCGTGGTTCACCACCGGGCCAGGAACATCATACTCCAGAAGGGCGACTCGATTGCTGAGCATGTCGCCTAATCCTCAACTCTGCAAGTTGCTGTTGCGCCAACGCCTCAATGGGGATCAATCTCGACCCTGGGCTCTTAGATCCGCTGGGGCTGCTGTCCTCCTCAACCTCCCGACTGGGAGAAACAAAACGCCAGGCCACCAGAAAACAGACAATGCCCAACACCACACGAACCGCAAAGGCACCAACTTGAGGCCGAGGGTAGGTGATGAAAGCTAGCTAGCTGCTGCTAGCTTTCGTGACTAGAAGCCCAACCACCCAAAAGGGGAGTCCGGATTCGTTGTGCACCAACCTGCCATCTGTACTTGTTGTTGTTGTTGTTGTTGCTGTTGTTGTTGTTGTTGTTGTTGTTGTTCTTGTTGTTGTTGTTGTTGTTGTTGCTCTTGTTGTTGTCTCGGATTCCACACAGAACCGCAATGTTTCGGAAACAGCACGTCGCACAGCTCTCACAAGACCACTAAGGTCAACCGGTCGGCTACCCCACAGCCAAAGTGAACTCAGGATTCCACTCACCTGTCCCGAGATCAGCCCAACCGTGAAAGGTAACCACCAAGGAAATCCCATGGCGTGACCCCTTTAGAGCTTGAGGATGTATAATTGCATCGGCCACAATTCGACCATCAATGCTATGCAAACACGTTCAAAGAACTCTCATATTAATTACAGTAGAGAAAACGCACGTCATGCACAGGGCCACTGGGCCACTGGAGAGAAAAACTACACAGAAATTAGTGTGCGGGGAGAAATTGTTGATTAACACGCAGGGTCACTGAGGAGAAACTAAAATGAACAAAACCGCTTTGACATACAGTGCTTTCAGCTCTCCATTTCAATGATACCTCACAAAAGACACTCCAAACGGTTTGCGACCAACCACTTCCACGCAAACCTCCAAAACCTCATGGTCGCTATCCAGGCCGTTACCTTGCCTGTGCCAGGTCTGGGGATTCCATTTTGGACACTTGGCTGGTTTCCCATCAACATGAAATGGAATCGAATCCCGATAGACTTCCTGACTTCGTTTGCACCCATCCAGGCACTCCAAAGGCTTGTGACACAGACACAGAAGTCAGACAAAAGAGTAAAACCGCACTTGTCAAAGGACAGGTGAAAAGGTCCCATAGAGTACAGAAACTACAGGCGAAAAAGGTCCACAACGCACATTCCAACCATCCTAGATCTTTCCATGTTAGACCTCTAGAAGCTGCAGGTAAAGAACTGTTCCAACAAATGACAGAACGAGCGCTCATACATACGGGACTTTCAGAAAGATGACATCACGCACAAAGTACTTGTCCTGCCGCGAAGAGTATCTATGTCAAACCTTTGTCTCCAAAACTAGCACCTGATTTTGATATCTTGACATCTTAGCTGTCAAAAACAAAACAAACAACTCTCACGGTGCCGACCTCACGAAACGCACAAGTCAATCTGAACGCACTAGGCCGGGTAGGCTACATAAGAGCGACGGTCAAAATTTGAGTTGCAGGTCAGGATTTGGTGAGTGTATATTATGATCGTTTTTCACATCCGACACGTTATCGTTTTTGGTGAGTGTGTTATTGTGTTTTGAGCAAAACATACATTTTGAACTCCCATGACCCCTCACTGACTATTCGTCACGTTCACGAAGACTAAGCTCGCTAAATCCTTCAGCTAATTTAGCGACGATCTGTTTGCAAGACACCAAGCAACACGCAAAAAGTCAAAAAGTTAGAAAAGTCAAAAAGTCAAAAGTGTGAAAAGTCAAAAAGTATCAAAAAGTCAAAAAGGTAAAGGAAACGAAAGCACGCAGCGAGACTTTTTGACTGTTCGGCAAATTCTCACTTTCACGTTTCGAGACTTTTTTACTTTTCAACTTTTCGAGACTTTTCGACTTTTCGAGATTTTTGGACGCCAGTCACATGTCGTGCCCTTCAACAAAAGTCTAGCAGAATTGATCCAAACGTTGCTTTTGTTCCTACAGATATAGGTATAGGTTTCTGTTTTCCAGACATCTCCAGTCGTGTCAAAATGAATCAGCCGCGAGCAGGAACACCTTCAAAAAAGAGACTTCCGCCAAAAGGACCCGGCAAGCCCCGGGACCTCTTGGCGGGTGACTCTTTTCATCAGCGTTGCCTTTTCGTGCACTGTTCGGCTGTTCACGACTTTTCGACTTTTCGCAAAAAGTTCGGAGAGCAAGTAGATTCACGCATTTAGCAACCACTGCGAATTTTGAGCCTAGCTCATATGAACGCAGCCTCACGCATGCTCACGCTAATGATTTGGTTCCTAGATTTTTGGGGAAGCTACTCAATCAAGATTAAGTAGGCAGCTACTCAATTTTAGTAAGGGCTAAGTAAGCTAGCCGCTACTAGCTACTGGACGCAGGAGAGCTCAGCTTCTATTCATTTGGTTCCTAGACGTGTAGAGAAACTTACTTAGGCTTGAAGCTCGGAGAAAACACATTTCATCTATCACTTCATCCGCAAACGGAAACGGTAGACGACGGCAGAACAGCGTTACGCGAACACTCTACCCCCAGACCCTCGGAGTTAAACAAGAACCCTTCGTCATGCATTCGGGAAAAAGAACGAAAGGCATTCCAGATTGATTGAAGCATTGCAGCATTTCAGTGAAAACCGTGGTTTTACAAACTCACAAGAAAATGATCTCCAGCCTTCGCAATCAGTTCCCCACCGCCTGGCAATAAATCGCTCCTTTGATGTGCCTGTTTTGCAACATGTCCGCTAGAATACCGTGCACATGCTGAATCGATCGATCTTCTTTAAGGTTTGCCGGGGCTCTGGCGAAATGGGAACTCCCAGCTTAGACAAGCATGCACCAAGGGCAACCTCACAAAGGGAGAACGCTGTTACAGCTTCCGATTGCCGATTGACAATGACACATGATCGAAAGGTATCGCTATCATCCTTATCCAAAGCTGCCGAAGCTGGCTCTTGCAAGGTCTTTCAAAATAAAGGACAAAGTGAACTCGGTGGCAAACGAATTATATAAATACCTGTGCTTATACAGCTTTGGGACAGTCTCTAGAGTGGTTTTGGGGTAAAGCAAGCCCAAAGTCTGAGTCACCTCTATCGGACTCCAAGCCCAGCAGCGTGGAGCAGTGTTCCGATGGCAAACCCATGATAGAAGGAACTTCAAGTCAATGATATACCCCAAATCATCGTGTTTGACAGGGAAGTGAAACCACTTTATAATTAAATAGTTAGTATATGTTAGTATATTAACCCGAATCTTGAATCATTGTGCGAATCGCGCATTTGGAGCGGGTGTGCACAGCACATGTGTACAATGTGATTTCGACATAGTTTCTGAGATCCGAAATGTTTGACCGGTTGCGTTGCAGTCATTGGCTTGAGATCGATGGGTACATAAACGAAATCATTTACGTGCCTATCATGCTGTGTTGGGGAGGTATTTGGATCAAAAAGTAGTTATATAGTTGCCTTCTCGCAGCATACTCGTTAAACAGAAAAACAAATTTGTTGCTGTCGTTTGGTGTGGTTTCATGTTTGATTCAAGCGACGGTCAACTGTGGCCATCGCACGTTTATAGAACCCCCTCTGTTGTGTTGAGCGAAATGACGAGAGGCTGCTGAACTCTTCCCTCTGTTCTCTTCCCTGCTCTTATTCATGTTCGCATGAATCGTGACTAAATTGGTATGTCGAAATGTTGATTTCCAGATCAAGAAAAGCTCTCCCCGGTGGATAGCAGCATTTGGCCGATTTTAACACAATGGAAGGCAGCGAAACCCAATCATTGGCAGCACAAAAATCACAAACATCAGGCAGCTACCGACAAACGACCATAGAATGACGATGCTCATGTCCACGGTGTTCTGAGCTTGAGATATCAAATACTGTATGAAGCCAGCTGTGAAAGAAGTGAAGCCCTAAAGCAAGCCCAAAGAAACCCTAAAGAAGTCAAGGCCCAAGGCAAGCCCAAAGAAACCCTGAAGAAGCAAAGGCCTAAAGCAAGCCCAAAGAAACCCTAAAGTAAAGGCCTAACGCAAGCCCAAAGAAACCCTAAAGTAAAGGCCTAAAGCAAGCCCAAAGAAACCCTGAAGAAGTGAAGGCCAAAAGCAAGCCCAAAGACCATCTAAAGCAGTGAAGTGCTAAAGCAAGCCCAAAGAAACTCTAAAGAAGTGAAGCCTCAAATCCAACCCAAAGAGACCCTACACAGGCAAACTGAGCAAGCCGAACCAAACGAAACCCTAAAGAAAGTGAAGCCCTGTGCCAAGCCCAATGACAGAAGCGTAAACTCGGTTTCCTGACTCTGTCAAGACGGTTTTGTGACTTGGACGAGCCGGTTTCCTGAGTACTCTGGTGGTTTCCTGGCTCCGTCTTCTCCCCTTGTTAAACACAAGCTGCATTGACACTGACAGGTGTTGCGTTGCGTTGCATGAACCGAATCAAGTATACAAAGGTTCGTTGAAGAAAGCTTAAGGAAAAGAACAACACTGACAATAAACTGGGTGAAAACGCTTCTGACTAAGGCGCCACAAAGTTCCCATGGAAGGGGCCTAATGCAAACAAAGCAGCATCATCCCAATGTCCAGGAGCAACGACGCAATCACCAGTGTTCCAATCATTAGTGGATGAGCTTTTTGCGAATCTTCCCGTTTGTATCTCCAAGGACAAAAGCTTCACGGCCTCTCGCGACAAACATATGCCTGTACCACCATTAAGGAAAACACGACCTGGTTGCTCATGCTTGTGTGCGTAATTCTCCCTGCCAATTGCCCATAGATCCGAAGCAGAAAAATTGCGACAACTCAGAATACGGCGCAGGTTTGAGGGAAGGAAAAGCGTATCAGAATCCAACCGACAAATCACGTCAGGTATTGAAGAGCTTCGCTGCATAGCTAGCCCGGCAAAATTGAATGCTAAAAAAGTTTTGAAAATGGTGTTCTGGTCACTGACATTGCTGTTGGCTTGGGAATCAGGGCCAATGTCGAAGCCATTCTGAAGGTTCACCACCGGATATCCTCTGAAATGTGAAGGTGCGGGTCCAGCGGTGAAAAAGAGGAGAGAGTCACAGTGTTTGGCATAGGTATCCGACACCATTGACATTCTCTCCACTTCCTGCGGATAAACCACCAGAACCAAGCACTGGACATTGTATTGGGCCCCAGGTTCTGATGGTTTAGAGACCTTCAGTGTCTCTCTTGGAGAGACTGGATTTTGTCTTTTGCGTCTCTCTTGAGGCTCCCTCAGTCTTTGACGCTTGCACTGCAAAGGGCCAGATGCCGGGAGCCAGTGTGTTGGAACTGGCATGTGCCGGTGCCAAACAAGCGTCAGTATGCGTTCGTAGTTTTCCGAAACCTCTGCAACAGGGAATGCCCACTCATCTTTGCAAGGTGCTTTTGCGACTATTGGTGCCAGGTCCATCACACTCTCCAGATTTGTTAAAGCAAAATTTTCTTGTCCGGCTTCTCCCATCCACTTGAAAAAACACATGATTCCGTACACAAAATGGCCTATCAAACAGCGGGTTCCGCGATCGCGACGCTGGATTCCCTTCGGGCATGGCACACTCCACAAGTTCGCTCGCGCAGCCACAGTACGGATGGGGAGACTTGCTTGATGGATTGCTTGCCATATCTGGTGGCCATAATCTCTTTCATTAGGCCATGGCTCCTGATCGCAACCCCAGCATACTTGTTCAGCAGCATTTTCAAGAGCTTGCCACCAAGTGCCACGATCTCGAAATCCATTGTTGATCCGACATATCGCATCGCAGGCCAAAGTTGCAGTCATGTTGGCCCAATGCCACAGGGAAGCATCTGTATTTGGCGCATCAATCAATTTTTCGCTGGTGTTTACTTCCATGTTGAACTTGAAGAATCTGGATGCTGCGGAAACACAGAAGTGTTTGAAAGATTTGATCAGATATACTGTACCTGCAAACTGCTGCAAACAAAACACAGTTGGAAAGGTGTCTGAATGAAGACTCGCTCCAGGATCCAGGCCCGCTCACAATTTGTGACAATCGCATATGCACCGACGTCCTGTTGCTTAGAAAAAATGATTTAAGCTGGTATGCGAAGCACCGGCCTGTAACACACAAATTCATCAAACATGAAATACATAACAAAAGTGAGGATGTCATTCACGGGCAAAAAAGAAGATGACAGGAAACATCCTCACACTGGATGACTGGAAACCGTATTCAACATATTCAAAAAGTTGTTTTTGGGCACAAAGCACATTGGCGAGGCTTCTGTGGGACACCAACACCCTATAGTCAAGAATCAACGGTGCTAGAAGGATAGGACCAAGAATGGAAGGAACGAACGAGCGTCCTGAGTCCAGCAGAACAAATGCATTTTGCACAACCAACACAAAAACACGAGCGCGGCATGAGTACCATGACCCAATAGCGAAGCTGGGCGGGCGCCATCAAAAACTGCACCCAAAATTTGATGTTCCACAAAAACTGCGTGATACACTTCAGTGCCATGACAAGTCATGACAAGTGCAACAAACCTTCTTCTGAATTTGGACGCCTTGAAAAGATAAATTCGAAACTTTGACGAGCGCACTGTACATTACCAAATTTCCTCTAGAGCACGCACATATCCACACAACGCGCAATCAATGTCCCGGCAAAGACCCCAAACAGTGCATCATAGTGCATCTAAACATCTAAGGTGTAGAGGTGTGGAACCAGAAGGTTCAGAGATGTAGCCGTATTGGGTTCCAAAGCAAGGTGAAGATGGTGATGATGGTGGTGATGGTGTGACAATGGCGGTGATGGTGGTGGGGATGGTGTTGTTGATGGTGGTGACCGTGATGGTGAAGGTGGTGGTGATGGTGGTGATGGTGGCGGTGATGGTGGTGATGGTGGTGATGGTTGTTGTTGGTGGTGGTGATGATGGTGGTGATGGTGAAGGTGGTGGTGACTTTGGCGGTGATGGTGGGGACGGACGACTGTGATGCGCAGAAGCCGCATTGTGAGAAGTGCAAAAAATCAAAATTAGTTTCGACTTTATTACCACTAACCATCGTGTTCAGCTTGTTCGAAGCCAGCTGGCCACCACGGAAACCAGCCCTGCCTGGATGAACTATGCAATGTCCTGCAGCCTGAAAGTCTTTTCGAGATAGCAGCCATCCCACAAATGTTTCGTGGTCAGCGATCAGCTTGAGGGACCCAGTGGACTCAAGCGGCCTTTCGAACGCTTTGCTCTCACCTACGTGTTGACTTTCAACTTCGCGGCGCGGTAGACATAGATCTACTATACTTAGGAATCAAAAGAAAGGAACCCTACATGCTCGAACTTGATGCTCTTTGCGCGGTGTGTCCTAAAAATCAGGCTGGGGGCAGGCAAAAGCAAGCAAGATTCGAAAGCCTTTTCTATGCGCTGGCTGTAGCTCTCAGCCTGCGCCGAGCACGGCTACACGCAGGAAGGGACAGCGATCTTAATGGGATCAAAACTGCAAAACTGCTGCGGTATGGCCTCACGAATCACGAACACACACGCTATAAGTGTGAAAACCGTGAAAACGTGACGTGGAAATTGCGCACGGCAGTGGAAATTTGAAATTGAAGGCGCTTGGCCGTGGCAACTGCGAGTGGCTTCGAGCAATCCCTTTTCGTGGCCGTGAGGGGTCTGGCCTCGTGAAAAAGGATACAAACGCAATGTAGGGTCTTCATAAGGGTCTGTGTGGACAATCTTTTGACTTCCAGCGGGGTAGGGTCAGCGCTACGTATCTGTCAGACCATCTGGGTGGCCAATTTGCTGCCACGCCATCGCCTCGATGTCCAGCTTGGAAATGTTCTTTGCCCGCTTCATCAAAGTGTCAAAGATCATGTCAACCAGCCCCATTCTCAATGGGAAACTCGGCGGTTTGGCTGAGTGCCATGCGAAAAAATGAAGCAAACCTTTTTGGAGATGCTTGGAATTGGTGCTTGAGCGGCTGGAAGTGAGGAGAGGTGTCGGCCAGCAACAGTGGTGTCTGTGGTGAGCACAAAATCACAGATTCAGTGTACGCGAGGTGTTGTTTGGACCATGTCAACAAAATAGGGTCCATAGTTGTCCAGGAAATCACTCGTGGTCCTGGATGCGATGCTCCATCATGTGATCAGGGGCAACAGCTTGAGCAAACAGGATGCACTGTTGGCTGAGTCTGGCACAGTCATTGTGGGATCTGCGGCCAGGCAGACGCGCCAGCAAGCTCGCGCAGTGAAAATGCACAGCGGCCACGGACTTGTTGAGCGGCATATAGTGGTAATAGTAGTAGGCCATACCAACGTCGCCAGCTGACTCCCAGACATCACCGACAGCATCAAAAGGGTTGACGGACTTCAGAAATAGTGCGCAACAGTGGCTCAGGAAGTCGAAGTCCCGGGGAGGCGATCATCGCAGAGTTGCAGTTGAAAGGCTGAGGGATAGATATATAGATGAAAAAAGTGAAATGGAAATCGAGTACATGTGCAACAGAACGAATGTCAAAACTAAAGCAGGAGCAATTCACGAAGGAAAAAGAGCCTTTAAGAAAGTGAAACAAGAGACGACAGGAGAGGAGGGACAGAAGCAGCGCAGGACACAGCGGCGCGCAGCGGCGCACAGAAAAGATTCATCTTCTACCAGCTCGCCATCAAGTGGACCCGCAGAGCTTGCATCAGGTCATCATGTTCTTGTACTGGGTCTCGTTGTGGGTTCGACCTCGGCCGCAACGGGTGCCTCCACCTGCTGACTTCCGGTCTCAGCCGCCTCCCGGTCTGCCTCAAGCACGGTCACAGCGCCAGCCAATCTGGTAATGGAAGAGGACGAGGAACGTGTCAATGACAAGGGCCAAGTCCAGGACATCGGAGGAGCCTCGCTCAGGCACATGAAGCACATGAAGAGCACCACAGCTGCACGCCTTCCAGATGTACTGCGGCAGGTCGAAGTAGATCGGCTGTTGACCGTCGTTCTTCTCAATCCATTGCCCTTCGCGGCGCAGCAGCGCCACGTAGTGTCCGCCATGCCTGTCTCCAAAGTGCGCCAAAATGGCGACTACCGAGTAGGGCCGGCAGCTGGTTGCCATCGAAGATTGGGACTTGGATCACCTCTTCGAATTGCACGTCAGGAATGCGCAGGGCCTCGTCGTGAACGAGGTAACCTCGGTCCAACTGCAAGCATTTGAAGGGTGTAGCGGACACAATGGCCGTCCGCATACCCTGGCGGTGAAGCCAGGAGGTCGGGCAGTCTGAGACGTGGATGGTGGGCACGTCAAGTTCTTCAATCCAATTGAAAGTCAGCAGACAGTGCTCACCACCCTTTTCATATACTTCAATCGTGTCACCATGGATCAGCCTTTGCTCCCATGTGTGATCCAACAAGGGGAATTGGCCCCACTCCAAAACCCGCATGAGGAACTCGGCAGCACAGCTCGGTACACAAGGCAGCAAGCTGCGTGATCACCGGACAGTTGCGCTTGAGCAGCTGAAAGGATTTGACCATATCAGCAGGCAGTTTGGGCAGCTGCAGGTTACAAAGGCTGCAAGGAGTGACAAAGGTGGTGGTGGTCACATGTTGCTTGCTTGTCAGAGTGCTGCAGGTAGTCCTGAATGGTGCCCTCGTTCAAGGCCCTGTAGATCGTGTCCAGGTCATGATCCGCCCGCGGTGCCGGCGGAAAAGGAATGGAGGTCAGGCCATGTGAAGGTGATTCTCATCAAGGCAGCAGAAGTCACAGAGGTGGCATTGATTCTGCATGGGCGCCGCCTTGGAGGTCCCTGGTATGCCAGTAGGCATGCCTGTGTGGTGAAGAGCAAAGAGCTGTAGATTCACCGCTGCAGAGCAAAGATGGCCTTGACGTCGTCGAGGTCGTTGACAAAAGATGCAGGGATCTCTTTGACGTTTGTGCGTGAAATCTCTTCCAGCCTGTACTGCTCGATCTGCAAGGTGGCTGTGGCTGTGTCTCAAATGAGATGTCAGCTCCTGGGTCCGTGGCGCGAAGCGCTGGCAGAGGATGCAGCGAGAGCTGAGGAACGCTCAAAGTGGTTCATCTTGGGCAAGGTCATCCCATGATCCCGCCATCAGGTGAACTCTGAGTTGTAGTTGGGCACGAACCAGTTCACCTGCATCATCCTTAGTGGAGTCGGAAGCCAGGCATGCTCGATTTTGGATGTGGGTTCGAAGGTGGGACCAATCATGAAAGTCTTGAAGACAGTGTGTGCATGGATGGATGGATGGATGGATGGATGGATGGATGGATCTTTTTTTAAGGTTGTGCTTTTGCTGCGTGAGTGGATGGATCTTTGACCCTGGTCTAAGGCTAAGCGCATCAGAAGTAATCGACCTCGATGTGGTCAGCGCCGCCTTGCGCTCGCGCTTCCCCTTCGCCTTGCGCCGGCGACGATTCTGGGGCGCCTTTGAAGAGCTCCCTTGGCCTCAATCCACTGTCGGGCGTGGTTGCCTGTGTGGAACTGGCCGATTGGGTGCCAGGTGCCTGCTGTGGTGTGTCTTCCTTGGTGACACCTTTGCAGGGCCTGAGTGAGGACAGCAATGCCGCAGTGCTTGCGCGTAACCCTGGTGCCAAGCTGCCAAAGCAAGTGGGCGTGGTGGCCAATGGCCTCTCCCTTGTAAGCCTCGTCGATGCAGGGACTGCTAATGTAGTTGTTCCAAATGCATGGTCTCGTTGGACCGCTTCAGAATGGCAGTTCCACAGTGCTGACACTTGATGTATCCGGCTGTCTCAATGAAGTAGCGTTGTCCTTCAATGCGTTCAGCAGGTTGACCTTTCAGGAGTTCCTGAATGAGTTGGGCCCTGGTTGCCCGTAGCAGCTGGTTGGTCCCTGTCATGCTCGGGCGGTGGTTCTGGATGTCTGCCTGGACAGCGCTCTTGTAGTTTTTGTTCGATGACACTGGTGGTGAGGCCCTGATGTATGCGAGTACTGCAAAGGGCACATTCCCAGTGATGGCCATCCCCAGAGGGTGGGTCAGTGCATTTATGCACAAGTCGCTTCTTGTATTGTTTGGTGTTGGCGGCTTGTGTACGGCAGGGCTTGTCGTGGATGTAGTGAGCTGGGTCTTTGTAGATGGCCTCAATCCTGGCCATGGCATATTGGTAGACCTGGCTGTGATCTTCCTCGAGCGTCTGTTGCCACTGCTCTTTTGCTTCATCATAGTACTCCTTGGCCCGTTCCCATGCAGTCAAGCCGGCATCCCTCTCTCCTCTGCGGAGATGTGGTTCGGCCCCTGGCTGATCTGGTGCGCGGGTTTGGGAACTGACATACAATGCTGTGACCTTGGACTTCTGTGCCGGATCATGGACGGCATCAATATCCATGAAGTTGTGTTGCTTTTTGGTTCCGGTCCAGGCTTCCCATATAGCAACTGACGGGATGACAAGCCGGATGGGCTGGGTGATATGTTGGGCCAGAATGCGCACGCCATAGTAAAGCGCTCTGTTTTTGGTTTGCTGTCCAGGAGGTATGCCTGTGATGGCTGCAAGCCTGTTGAGGCGGCCAAGACTGAGAGGACACAGAGTGCAAAAACCCAGGCCTGTGAGCGTTTGTCGTATGTTGTGGGCGCTGCGTCAATGGAGACGACATGGCCTTGATATGGGCCAAGTTCGACAGTTTCGAGATGCTGCCACATCCCAAAGCCTCGTAGGGTGGTTGCACGAGCCCATAGTGGATCTTCATCTGGATTGTCGACTCTCTCGTACCAGGAAATGGGCATTGTTTGGCGCTCTTTTCCATGGTGCCATTTGCACAACCAAACTATGCGCTTGGAGGTTGCCGGTACCTGACATAGTGGGCACTGCTTGTGACCTTGCTGGTCTGGTACCCATGTTCGTAAGGCGTTGGCTTGTGCCTTGGATGCTTTGCATAGGAGCTGGTTGTAGACCTGCCAGTCGAGACCGTTGCGGATGTGCTCACAGTGTTTTCTTTGTCTGGGACGTCGTAGCCGCTAGTAGGCTGCTTCCTGCTGTAAGGTGGTTTGAATCTGCCACCATGGAGCAGTGAGGTCAATGGTCATCTCTGGGCCGTACTCCGTGGTGTCCCTGTGCCAGAGGTGTGGTTCTGTTAGCTCCCATAGGTACACAATGACGGCTGCCATTGGACCTTTGACTTGGTACCATGGGTATGTCTGGTGTTGGAGATGCCGTTGAGGACTGGCCCATGCTTGGCTGATGTGACCTTTCTGATCATCCGGCCATGCATCAAGTAGTTGCTTGAAAGCGTGGATGCGGTTGATGATGATCTGGTCCCCTGGATCTTGGTACCTCTTGGTGCCCGAGTTGGGCGCCAAGTGCTTGTCTGAGTGCGGTTCGATACCTTGGCGCAAGTTTTTGGGCTTCGACTCCCCACATAGCAGCAGTTTGGATGCCTCCTATAGAGTCGTAGACGGTTGCTCAAACTGGGTAGGCGTAAAGCTCTGAGCTTGAGACGCCGCACGCCGCTGCTTGGCTTTCTGGTACCGCTTCTTGAGGACAGGGATGCGTCGAAATCGTCCCGCCAATTGTTTTTGCGCGAGGGCGTAGTCGAGGACTGCACCAGACAAAAGTGTTTGTGGGGGTGCGACAATTTGCCCATCGAACTTGGAGCCAAGTACAGTTTCTTCAAAGGAGCTTGGCGGAGTGTTCCAGTCTCCAACAAGTAGAAATTGGTGTCTTGTGGTTTGTAGTAGTCCAAGAAGTTTGGCCAGGATCTGGCTGTTTGTCTGCCCTTGTAAGGTGTCGGAGTGTTTGAAGTAGACCGCCACGAGCAGTAGGGGTAGTTCTCTTTTCTGCCACATACCCACACCCTTGAATGTCATAGCTGTCGACATAGGTGAGGCCCTCCGAGATGTCGCCGAGGATCAAAATGCCTCCACGCGTGCCTTCATTGGTGGATGGCGTAGTAATGCCCGGACATATGGTTATGCCCTTGTGACATATGAGCGCCACTGGTACGTACTCCATCTGTTTTTTCGAGAAGCCATCGAGGGATGTGGGTACTTGGAAAGTCCCATGTGGGTTGAGTGTGCGGTGGTGCTTGGTGATCAGCCCATCCACCTCTGTTTCTTGTTTGAGATGGCACACTCATGCTTTCTTCTCGTCCATGAAGTATTGGCCCAGATTCTCATTCGCCCAGGCATTGATGAGGTCCTGGAAAGGTACTTCTTCCTGGCTGTTGGCAGGGAGATCAATGTGTATGGACATCTGTATATGGTCCTTGAGGAAGCCGTACCTGTATGTGAAGGCTCTGGACTGAGTGACCAACCAGAGGGTGTTCACAAAGTGGCTGGCGTCGCCTTGGACATTGAGATCATGCTTCTGCCAGATTGTCTGCAGTCCAGGAAGGCTGTGAAGATCAACGGGTTCACAGGTTTAGACTTTCTTGAACTGCATCTCTGATTGTGCCCCATGGCTGCAAATTGTCTTCTTGCAGAAAGGCACATAGCCATGTGAAGGCCCTCCACGGGGCGTTTGCAAAGCATCGTTGGCTTGGATTCCCCACAACCATCGTCAGATTTTGCATCAGGAGATCTGTGGTGGTTGCAAAATTGTAGAGAACGTTTTGATTCATCTTGACGTTCTCTGGCAACGCTTGGTCACACTCCTCTTGCGGTGCTGTGCCTCCAATCACCGCCCGGCGCGTGCGTCCACCATCATCCAGGTTCGAGTGCGCGTGGCTGGTAGCAAAAGAAGTGTTTGGATCAAATTGCCATTGAAATTGATCAGAATGTTGCATGTCCCCAGCAACAAATGGCCGTGTGGGAAAAGTGTGAGGTCTCAAGGTATTGGGTCGCATGTCCCCTGCAACTCCTTGAAGCCATGAAGATCCCTGTAGCTGTGAACCATCGTGGATAGAAACATCCAATGCTCTGACAGCAAAAACGTCATGATCAAAGTCATGTCCCCAGTCAAAATCATCCAGTGGGACTGGAATTGCCCAGTGCATGGAAGGTTACCCGCACGATCCTGGTGGTGAACTTGGGCTGGCGCTTTCTGTTTTCCTGCGCTTGGAAGATCCTCAAGGCTGCTGTTTGGTCGTTTCAGCAAACCGTGAAGCTGAGACTTTTGTTCAGCTGAGAGAGAAGCTCCCAAATTGGCTACAAAGGATTCAAGGGCTGCAGGAAGTGGATCGATGTCCATGTTGGTGGTCAGCTCGTCTGGCTTTGGATCGTTGTTGACTGCCTTCATATACTCCTCGGAGAGTTGCTTCAATGCTTTCTGACCATCGTTGAGTTTCTGTTGACCGTCAAGAGGGGTTGGTATTGAGCTTTGGTTTGATCCAGCCTCTCTTGCAATTGTGTCTTCTTGATGGAGAGGTTCTTGAGGTCAGATACTTGACCTTTGAGCTTCGTGGCAATGTCCCTTTCGGATGCAGGCTCCGGAGCCGTGAGACGGCTCACCGCCTCCTGCACCTGAACTGGCAAAGCTTCCATGTGGGACTTCAGCATCTCGGCCAAGTCGGGTTCTGGTGGTTTGGCGGGTCCAATGCCCAACAACTGGAGCTTGTCCTGGAGTTCAGTGGACATGCCGCTCCAAACTGTTTCCAGCAACTCAGTAGCTTCTCGCTGGATCTTCGTCTTCTTGAGGGGTTTAAATCTTCCCAAGCCTGGTGGCGCTTCAAGCCTTTGTGGTTGCCAGGGTGTCGGCTTGGTGGTGGGTCTTCCTTGACCTTTACCTTTTCCAATGCCTGCCCTGCTGGATGGCCACCAGTTGCCGCATAGTCTGCATCGAGTGTCCGGTCGAAGTTTGTCACTCCAAATCCAACTTGTGCATTTGCCGGAGGTGCACACCACATAGCTTCTGCACCATGAAGCCGGTTTGGAGGATGTCATTGTGCCGAATGAGGTGGACCTCAGTGGTCTCCAGAAGGCTTAGGTTGAAGGCAAGGAAGGTCAGATTTGACTGGCCTGGGTCCTCCGCTGTGATATTGCCCCAATCACAGTGTGGATGTCCCGGAGATTGATGAGGTAGGTGCCGAAGTCCCGGAGAAAGAGAGGTCCTTGAAGGTCTCCCTCACTATTGCGGGCAAAGCACCAGTCACCAGGAAAAACCCAAGCCTCCGAACGATGTTCGCCTGGGGGTGCCACACTAGGAGGTCTTCACGGGCAGCCTCCTTGAGCACTCGTGGCCTTGATGGATGGATGGATGGATGGATGGATGGATGGATGGATGGAAGAGGCTGAATACAAGAGTTAAAAAGTATTCACTTCAGTGTTAATGCTTTAGCTTTTACATCTGATCAACCTGTAACTCTAGAAGAATTAACTCTGGAGTTAATTCTGTCAACTTTGCCACTTGTGCAAATAGAGAAGCAGCTCTGGAGTTAAGTCTTTTTTACTGTGTCTCCTTGTTTCCTTCTCGGTGTCTATCTCTGTCTTTTCTTTTGTTATCTTTCATTTTTAGCTGTATTGGGTTCTATAGCCACCAACAATAAGAATTAACTCTTGAGTTAATTCTTTTTCACTGTGTCTCCTTGCTTCCTTCTCTTTGTCTAGTTATTGATTTTCTTTATATAATTTTCTCTTTCGCCTTTAGCTGTATTGAATTCTAGGCAGGTGACAGGGGATTAGGAAGATAAAAGGGTGGGACAAACTAGCCACCAAAAAAGAATTAAATCTGGAGTTAGCTCTTTTTCACTGTGTCTCCGTGTTTCCTTCTCTGTGTCTATCTCTTTCTGTCTAGCTCTGTCTTTTCTTTTGTGTTCTTTTTCACCTTTAGCTGTATTGAATTCTAGGCAGGTGACAGGGGATTAGGAAGATAAGAAGGTGAGACAAACTAGCCACCAAAAAGGAATTAACTCTGGAGTTGATTCTATTTCGCTGTGTCTCCTGTTTCCTTCTCTGTGTCTATCTCTTTCGTTTATTTTTTGCTTTCGTTTTCTTTTCTATCTGCATTGAGTTCTATAGCCACCAAGAAGGAATTATATAACTCTTGAGTTAATTCTTTTTCACTGTGTCTCCTTGCTTCCTTCTCTTTGTCTAGCTCTTTCTTTTCTTTTGTGTCCTTTTTCACGATTCAATTCTTTTTCAAGGGGTCCTGAAGGGGTCCGATACAGAAAGAAACAATGAAGAATTGTCTCTGGAGTTGCTTCTTCCAGAAGCAGGGGTGACAAAACGAATTAACTTAACTTGGGTGTTAATTCTACTGAGGCACGTGCTGATGTGCACCCCAGGACAAAGAATTAACACCAGAGTTAAGAAAAATATATTCGCTCCATTTCATGGATAGATGGATGGACGGACAGACAGACGGATGGACGGATGGATGGATGGATGGAGACTCACTAATATAGCCTCATCTACAAGTACAGCACAACTTGTATGAAATTCAAACACCTCAATAGCGAGGCACTTCTTGCTTGGTATGCGACGTATGCACATGGCCTTCATTACTATCATATGATTTCTTACGTTGCACAATGGCCTCAATGGTGTGCAATGTATATGTGAATCTGCCTCGCGTAGAGACAACTTTTGTGAAGTGCGCCCTAACGCTCGCCGAGCAAATAGTCATGCTGGAAAATACAACGAAATGCATACTCCTCCTTTGCAACGGATGTTACACACGCGACAAACCACATCAAATCATGGCTCTGTGAATTCATCGATTGACCAACCCCGCAAATGTCCCGAGTTGGGTCGTAAAGAGGACTTTCTTTGCCTTGCAGCACCAAAGCCACAGCCTCCGCACTTTGCATGATGCGAAATAGGAGCGGTGTTCACACCTACAAACCTGAATGCGCATTCAGGCACTGCAACGAAGAAAAGCGGAACTTCTTGTATATAGATTTAATACACCTCCGTCAGCTTGGACCTGCCTTGGCAAGATGCCCTAAGGTCTTCTTCTCGGCATCAAAATGGTACCACTGCCGATGCTTATCATCCTGTGGAACAAATCGTGCCGTCCTTCAGGTTTAAATCAACTGCGACCTTGAAAAATGAAAGTGTTAAAGTGGCACCTGCAATTCCTTGCATGGATGATATGTCTTCTCACCTCTCCATTGAGGAATCGGGTTCCACTCCTGGGTGATCCAAGATGGAACAAAAACACGCGATTTGAACAGTTTTGCGAGTCTTGGGTTTTTTCAAACCATGCGATCTAAACGCCACATGTCGCTGTCCTTCAGCTCACGCGAACCATAAGGCAGCACGATGGCAGGCTCTGCTGGTTCCTCAGAACCGCTCTGTTTAGATTGCTGCAACTGCTGACGGTTTGTTCTTTATTTTATTGTAAGATCATCTCTGTCTGTGGTGATAGGGAATTAGGTCATCTGTTGGTCTTTGTTGAATCGTTGTTCATCGGTGTTCAATGCCCTCAATAGGTTCCCTTACATGTACAGTGATTGGTTTACCATGCATGCAATGCATCGGTTTGTTGCCTACTCTTGCGATATTACCTGAACCTCAAAGGTTGTTTCAAAAAAATAGATATAACGAGCCTGAAAAGAGCATGCTGAAAGAGCATGTGTTTTTGAAGGATGTTGGATGACATGAAAAAGGTTATCTGATTGACAATGTTCTTGAAGGCTACCGGAATAAAAAGCATGGTTTTTACAATGTTCAAGAGGTTCACCCAAAACAAAGAGCATACCTTGGACTCGGACTAGGCTCGTTTAATCTAAAACGAAGCTCTCTTTTCACTCTTGAGAGGTCGCGGCCTTGTGTAAGGCATGTTCAGTGAACTCTTCATGTGTCTAACATGGAGTGTCTTGACTGTCATGCATTCATGTCACAAGTGCTACACTCCTGATTGCTTCTCAGCGCGGCTCGGCCTGCGGTTGTTCGGCTTGTAGTTGTTCTGCTTGGAGTTGTGCTCTGGCTCTCCTTTCTCTCACATCCAGTCTCTGCTCCCAAGAGGCCATCCATATCCCCTTGGTGACTCAGGGATCTCCTCTTCTTGCTCAGGCTCGTAGCAAAGCCTGCGATGAAGCCACTGTCCACCATCTCTTCCCCAGTTGGGATTTTCCACAAAGTATTCCTCACCAACTTGAGGTGCGTCGATCTCAAGGTCGAGGTCGGTGCATTGTTCTCCCAGCTCGTCTCTCAAGCCTGCTTGCCCTCAAACTTCTCAACTGCATCTGTCACCTCGTCACCAGGTTGTTGAGAAACTCGTCGAACATCTCCTGGGACATCATCTTCTGGCTCTTCAGCAGGTTGGTCTGCTTCAGCTTCTTCTTCTGCTTCTTCTTTTTCTTCCTCTTCTTCTTCTTCACTCAAACTCCAAGTCCTTCATGGCGTTCTAGACGTCCATCCACGTCCAGGAAGTACTCCTCACCAGAGGTTCTTCCTGATCATCACCTGCGTCTCCTTCAAGAAGTAGGTGATTGACATCTCCTCCATCAGGTTCATCCCATAGCTCTCCATCTCGGCAGATTCTCCGAAGATGTTGAATCTTGTTCTTGACCAGGACGAGGATCCTGAGGCGGTGAACTCTTTCGTTGAAGTTCTCCTCCACCTTCTACAGGTTGTAGGCTGAAGTAGTCCCTGAGGCAGAACAGGATGAAGACCAGCGCATTGAACGCCACCATCATCATTCCAGTCTGAAGTAACTGGTAGCCCATCTCAGTCAGGAGAGACCATGCTCCAACAGAAGCTGCATTGAGCACAATCAGCGCCAAGTCGCAACCTTGCACACTCATTGCCACCATCAAGGAAAAGTCCACGACGTCCATCCTTCGGGGTCACCGGATCTTCTCCGGCTTCCATTCCGTGGCCCTGCTGACTCAAAGCCGCCAAAAGCAAACATGTCGGTTGTTGCACTCGTTCGGGTCGAAGTCCTTTGACACGTTGAATTTCTTCTTCTTGGGCTCCAACTCGTGGTCGTCCAGCGTGCTCCAAGTAGCCAGTGAGGCCCAGCAAGAATCTCAGTCTCTTGCTCTTGCTGCTATGACTCGTGGTTCCCAAGTCACTTTCCCGGCGCTGGTCGAATTGCTGCTTCTCGTTCTTCCACTTTCTGTTGCGCCCACAAGAAGTCCAGCGCTTATATACTTATACGTCGGGTACTTTGTGCTCCTTACCGTCGTAGTAGAGCTCGAGCAGAGGAACTGTCAATCCTCAGCTCCAAGACCACCTTCATGTTCAGCACAGCTTCCAACATCCTTTTGATGTAGATTCCATCAGCCATGCCACTGACTGCTGAATCTGCTGAAATGAGTTCACCTTGACAGCTTGACAAAGCTATCATATGCGCTTTTGGCTTCGAGATGCACTCCAAAAGAAACTGCCGTTGAGGTACATGTGGCTGCGTGACATAGATCTCCTTGAAGTTCTGTCTGCGGCCCAATCGCTGTCCGTGAAGACTTCGCTCCTTCAACTCCTTCTTGTCCAGGGCGTCTGGTCCTGTGACTTTAGAAGCTAGCTGTCGAACTGCGCATTGGATGTCTGGCCTCTTAGTTGACATGTAGAGCAAAACGCCAACACAAGTCTTGCAGAGTCTCGATTCTTCCCTTGAAAGCGGTTGTCCTTGAAGTCTTTTCTGAAAGGTTCCAGTTGTAGGCGTCAGCTTGCCTTTGTTCGCGTGCAGGTCCAACAAGTCCGCCAACTTCTTCACATACTTCTGGTCCATTCGAACAGTCATGGGACCAGATCCAACTGAAGCAAAATGCCTCTTGAGGAATGCGCCGCGCAACCTTAGGTGAGCAGGGTCCTTGTACTTGAGGTGTCCATTCCTGTTTTCTGAAACTGTCAAGGAGTTTCTCAACGTCATGTTGACTTCCAACCAGCTGTAGGTCATCAACGCGCGACGTAGAAGACTGCTGGGTCAGCAGGGTATGGTTGTAGCCCTTGGTCGTGTGCCACTTTGCCCAAGTGGTCATACCATGCCTTGGTAAGGCATTGTCCGAGTTCGAAGAACTCTCCATTGCATTCCACATAGACTTTCTCCTTGACATCAACTGCCCAGAGTCCACGTTCTCCTTGGCTCGACTGAACCAAGGCAGCCCAAAGTTTCACTCCCTCGTAGGGGTGAAGAATTTTCGTTTGAGGCGAAAGAAACATGTATATATAGTCTCTGCACAACAGTCTTGACAGTCTCATCCAGCCAAACTTGCCAGTCTCTTCTTTGAGGCGCCATCGCCAATCATAGACCCCTTCTTGGTCGCCAAAAGTTGCCACTCTTTGGAATGAGGACTCCCATCTCCTTGGGGCGTGAGATTTATCGCTCATCAGCTTCATGCATGCTCCAACTGCGCCAGCATCTCGCCAGACACATCTAAAATTCCTGCTCCTTCAGGTTCCTGCTGCAGGTTCACCTGGTCAAACTCGCCCCAGTCCTTGAGGTCCACCAAAGGGTACTCGTCCACCTCAACAAACTCTTCTTGCGTCCAAAGCCACTTCTTGAATGCCACCAGCAAACGAAGGTGCATCTCGCCTTCCTCGGCCAAGTCGCTCTCCAACATGGGAGGTGTCTTGATCTCCCAAATCCTTCTCTGCCGCGCTCGCCGAAGACGATGTAGTTCTGGCGGGGGGTCCAGAAGGTTGCCCGCCACCATTTCCTCCATGATCTCCTGAATCGTGGACAGCAACTTGTTGAACTTGTTGACCATGTTGCCAACATTCAGCTGCTCTGCAAGCACCCTTGGATTTGCCTTTGCCTTTGTCTTGGCTCTTGCCGCTTCCGTTGCCGTTGCCCTTCTGACCAGCAGAGCCTTTGCCTTTTCCTTTGCCCTTGCCTTTGTCACCTTTTCCTTTGGGCGACCCTTTCTTGCCTTTGCCCTTTCTTTTGCGGTTGCCCTTGATACGATCCACCTCCATTGGCACAATCTCGTTGCGCTCGAGGATCTTGGCGCTTGACCAGGCAGCCGTCAATTGCTCGTAGGCCACCATCGATTCTCTCACCTGCGCATAGCAAGCGCCAGCGCATGACTCTTCAAGTTCTCGTCCAAGGAGCTTCCAGCCAGCCGCTCACACTCGCCGACCAGCTTCTCGTACTTCATGATCCCTCCAAGGATCTTGCCCTTCTCAAACTGCGGAAAGGCCACCACGGCTTGGATGATGCCAAGCTCTCTTTGCCTTGTCTTGGGCTGAAGCTCCCGACAAAGCCCTTGCCATGCTCTAAAGCCATCAGTGTCTGTGACACTCCGCACAAAGCTCACCAAGTAGGCATACAGCTTCTTTGCTCTCTTCTGAACTTCCTCCTTGTACTCTGTGAGTTTGAGGTCCTGCTCCAAGTCCTTCTCCACGCGCTCCAGGTCGTTCACGAACCCCTCCTCAATGAAGGCCAAGTAGCTCTTGAAGAGGAAAGACCATTTAGGCCATGTGGATTGCTCTTCATCCACCATCCATCGGGCTTCACCAAGGTGCGAGAAGCTTTGCTGCCGTCCTTCTCCTTCTCTTTCTCGCCCAGCTTCTGAAGTGTCTGGGCACAGACTCGTGTGAATCCATGGAGCTCGGTGACAACTTGCTCCACCCCAGCCATGAGCTTCTAGCTCTTGCTGCTCTTCCAGTGACCTTGCCAGTGAGGTAGTCACTTGCACCGATTGCACCAAGCTGCTCTCAGCTGCACAGTTGCAAAGGCTCCACCAGCTGCTGTCGCCAACCTACGGCGTCGAGACCGTGGGATTGGGTCCTGCCGAGGTCCTGAGAGATCGGGATCACAGCTCCGCTACCATCTAACACGAAGCTCTCTTTTCACTGTTGAGAGGTCGCGTCCTTGTGTAAGGCGTGTTCAGTGAACTCTTCATGTGTTTAACATGGAGTGTCTTGACTGTCATTCATGCACTCATGTCACAAGTGCTACATTTCAACAAATATGTATATATATAGATATCACAATGCATCGTGCATTCTTGGAAAGCTCGCTGGCCTATCCATGTATTTTGGCCCTTGTGTGCTTTTATCTTACTGGCAAGTGAAATGCAACAGAACAGGAAAAAAGGTAAACAACAACACAACATTGACATGGACATGGTTTTGTAATTGCTCTTTGTCGTCACTCTTTCCGCGCTCTTTTTTTTGGGCGGTTTGGCGAATGTAGTTGCTCTTTTGTAGTTGCTCTCTTGGGGACTGGTGCTGGGGAGCCTGTAGTTGCTCTTTTTGTGAGACGTCTACCAGTATGGTGTTCCAGGGAACACTATTCTGGACTCTCCCTGCACAGCTACAGTGTAGTCCTGAAATCAGGCTACAACCCACACACACACACCCAAAGTGCGACCCTTAGGATCCAAAGGACCCTAGAGCTGTACACATAGTCTGCTGTGCAAGTAACGTTTGAATACGCTTGACTTACTTTGGATCTTTAGATTCTACTTTCACTTTGTAGTGTTTTCCAAAAGGTGGCCACATGTGAGACACAACCTAGGACTAGGACCTAGGAATTTAATAGGGTCGGGGGGGGAATCAACAAATAACATCTCTGATAACATCACTACAATTCAGCTCAACGAACTTTGTTTTTGATTTCTACTTCTGCTGAGATTCTGCTGCTGAGCTTTCACAGGATGGCGGACACATGTGAGCACACAAAAGAGTTCACAAAGACACCACTGGCCAACTGGTCAGAGAGCCAGTCTGTAACTTCTGGTGATGAAAAAAAGGAAATGGCACTCATTCAGCGGCTTTGCTTGGAGTTGCTCTTTTCTCAGGGTATAGTTTGTAGTTGCTCTTTTGTAGTTACTCTTTTTGGGACTGCTGGTGCTCTTTTGGTATCTTTCCCTGTGGCTGGAAAGAATATCATGAGCCTACTCATCCCCTCGGTTGATCGTCTGTCCTCACATGTATGTAAGCAAACAGTCCGTTTCGGACCGTTTCTTTAGTTGCTGCGGAAAGCCTCAAGGCAATCTTGTTGTTCCCGAAACGCATGCAAACTCTTTGATGGGCCATAGGATATTCAGACAAACATTTAAGTTCTTTTGTGATCTTTGTGGTTCAATGCTTTTCGTGATTTTTGCAAAATAATTTGGCTGGGTTTGTAGTCACACATATACACAAGAGGGATGCAACAAATGTTGGAGCCATAACGTTCACATTAAATTGCGAAGCTGTTGGTGTTTCTTGATGCATGAAAATAATGTTGCGCAAATGTGATTGGAACATATTGCAAACAAGCCATGTTGTAGAAAGTGTCAAAAACAAAGGTGCGAAATCGATACCAGTGTAACACATGCACCTTGATTGAAACAAATGAACTATACAAACAAACATTAACGAAACACACACATACACATATATATATATATATACACACGTTTTTAATGTGTTGTTTTGATGTTGCACATACCTTCAGTTTTATGCTGCGTCTATTTCGTTTTGGGTCACCTGTACTCATCTTTTGTGTGTTACGCAGGTGGTACCAAGAAGAAACCGACGTTTGATCAGCATTTCGGGTTGGTGGTTTAGAAAAGGACTGAAAATTGCTGTCGGGCCACCCTGTCGTCTAGTGTGTTTTGGTTTTGGTGGATCAGTGATGCGCATACATATTTGATACCTTCACCGTTGTGAAAGGTGCTCCCATTTCGTAAAATCCTAGGTACCAGGCCGGGGTACCATCTATATAATGTGTATATATATATACACTACACTGTGTGGACGCCTATTATACTTACAAAATATATTGCATATAAAGAACAAAACGCAACATTCTATCGTATTCACCAAAAAATTGTATGACAAGAATCCCAGAATGTGTCTTTGTTGTGATGAGAAAAAAACTGCACAAACTCTGGTCACGGATGAGAATGGGGTTTGTCAGTTTGTCCGTATGAACCGAGACTGCGCTGCAGCCTGGCAACCAAGGAAATGCCCCCGCCCAAAATTGGAGACATCTCTGTTGTTACAACACTGTCCTTTGGGTCTGTTATCCTGTGAGGAACAATTGATCCATTGATCCAAGGCTCATACTCCGGACTATTCCTTGCATACCTGTCAGGAATGATTTGGGCTAGACCCCTGCGGCACGTCAGGCCTGAGGGCACAACGGCGCGTTTTCGCAATGCAAGAATCAGTGGTTTAAAAAGAACCAAGCCTCTTGGTAATTTTTCGACGATGACACTGCCTTGACACAACTTTGATGCATGGTGAGACAAGTCTTTTTGTTCAAGATTCAAAGCCTGCAGGACGTGGTGGACTTTGCACAAATGCCTGTGGCCAAGACCAGTTACATTTTCACACGAATGGAAGCAGCAAAAAATGAAACGTCCTCACTCCAGTTCCACGCTGCCAATACTGCGAGGAATGCTAGGGCAACCTGATCAAGAACGATCCCAAGCGCACAATCCGCTGGAAGTGTGAAAGGAGGAAGAAAGGAACGAGAAGGGAAGCATCGCCTGCCATGATTTTCTAGAAGCCATCGGCTCCGTTACCACTCAAGCCTAAGTCAGCGCCACAACCAAAAATGATTCCAATTTCATGGTGTCCTTCAGCACCCACTTTGGTTTCTCTAGGCTTAAGTTGTCCACTTTCGATGTTTCGAAGATTCAAACTTATATCTGGAGCTTTGCACCCCAGGCTCAAAAGATATCAGAGCACGCCACAAAACTCACAGAATGGAAAAGCTTGTGAAGAGCTTGGACAGGATAATTTCTATATGTGTTTAGAAACACGGGCCAAGTGATGCCTTCTAAGGGTTCCTACCAACCTGCTGACGCCCTTTTCAGGGAGCGTGGCTGTGGACAAGGCACTGCTCCCTAAAAGATTGTCCTCGGAACCCTCTTTGGAACTGTAATTGGGAATGAGCAGTGCTCAGTAGGTCTTCTTCAGCCTCTGTCCTCACCGTTTCTCACGGCGCTCGGTGCTTTTTGGAAAACTGGCGCCGGCATCTACGGTAAAATCAATAGCTTCCAAATACGCAGCAAAGTCATCGACTCGGCCATCTTTTCCAAGTCCGTGCGACTGAACCCACACCAAGTAGATGTGTATTCGTTCTTGGCCACCAGCCCTGCAATTAGTCAGGTTTGGAATGCCAGCCGGAAGGACCACTTTCTTGCGCCCTTCACTCTTTTCTGAAGCGCGCAAAGGAAAGACACTTTCTGACGATTGCCCGACAAACAATATCCCTAGCCTATACCCGCTCTCACACAACAGACCTTCTGCAACTCGAAGTGAAAGGCCCAAAGAAAACAAAAACGAGTTCATTGCCCCGGTTTCTGCGCCGGGCTCTTCTGGTCTTCGGCGTTCTCGTTCTTCTCTTTTCCGATTGATATTTGGCAGCGCGCAGATCCGATCACAACAAGTCCATTGGCGCTGCCCGGTCTTTTTTGTCAAGCCGTCAGCCAACATGTGAGCTGTTGGGGCCTGCGCGACGGATCGATAGTCTGATGATTGCGCTATGTCGGTTGTTCTAGCAGTCCCCCAGAACCTAGAGAATTCATACGGTCAAACAGAGATCTACCAATTCCAATTAATTGGCCTTCTTATAAGCATTGATTCAGCATCTTCAATCTTCAAGGAAAAGCGATCGTCTAAACTACTAAACATTCTGCAAGCGTTGAGGCGTCCTATTCACACATTCGAGAAGCTGTGGAACAAGCTCAAGCCGGCGTGACTTCCAAGCAAAACAGCGCCGGCACATCTGCACCCTGCCTCGCACGATCACGGTGAAGCTGGCTAACCAATTAACCTCCCTGGGTTTTCAATTCATCTGTGTTTGCAGGAGCAGCCTCAGACCAAAAACAAGAGGTAAGTCCTTTCGGCTCCATGGCTAAGTTCTGTGGGCTCCATGTAAGGCACACGGATTCTGAGGTCAGATTGTTGCCGCGCTTGGCGCGCAATCGCGTGCAGGAGGTGTTGGTTGAGGAAAGCGTTGTTGACTAAGTGAGGTTTGCGCTGCCAAAATCTGGTCTTGACTGCGCGCTCAACTAGCTCAGGGCCCCGCTCGCTCCTCGGATCGCAGCGCAGCCACTTCTTGGATGGCTTCTGTCAACCAAGGTTTTCTGCGTCTCTCCTTGTTGACCTTGATCCTTTGGAAGGGTGCAAGCGTACTTCTGATCTGTTCCTCTTCCGTTTCTGACCAGCTTCTGACGCTCCCAGGTGAATTCTGTGCGCCGTTACAAGGAGGAAGGGGTAGGTAGGAAGATGTGAGCAAGCGTGGTCAATACCCCTTACAGTCTCAGTCTCTTACACAAACGAGTCTCGGTCGGCTTGTTACGCGCAAACCCAGACAGCCCAGCCAGCAAAAGAGTTTTTTTGCTGCCGCCATACTTGCCGAAGTGATGGCCCCACACTTCCGCTCTTGCGCCACTTGCTCCAAAACGTACGCTGCGCGCGTTGCTTGTTCAGTGTGGCGTGGGAGCTGAAGCCGAGCTTTGATGGGCCCCTCATATCCACCTTCAGGCCCAGAGCAAGCCAAAGGTGGGTTGTAGAGTAGGTACACCCACATGAGGCTCGCATGCTTCAGCCTTATTGAAGCAAAGTATATAGGCATTTGGTGAGTGACACACACGCACGCTTGCGCACGGCGCCCGAAGGCTAACGGCAGGTTTCTTAAAAGGTATTATTCCAACATGAGACATACGCGCTGCATTTTCTGCGCCACGTGGAAGCACACAATGAAATCTAAATATGGGGTCTCCCACTGCCACTTGTTGACCACTAAACACAAGCTCGACGTAGAATTTTTGGGCGCGTGCTCCCACATAAGACACGGGCGCTGTATCTTCGACGCGCCATGCGGAAACACACATTGAAACCGACGTTTGGTGGGCACTTTGCAACTTCTTTTCATCAGCGCGCCACGCGGTGGGCTGACTTTCTGTTGCGTGGGCTGCGCAAGGTCAAACACTCGTAAACGTTTTTCACAAAACCGCGCCTGGCACCCCTCCTCATGGAAGCTCAGCATGCACCAACCAGGTTGTCTGTGGGCCTTTGTCCCTCACATCGGCTTCGCGAAATGCTCCTTTGATATCACCTACATGCGTTCACTAGCCATGACTCGCAATCATCTGCAAGATAACTGGGACCGAATTGAGAGAGTGTCTCACCGACACTTGCTATATGGCTGGCTTTGATAGGTCTGGGTCGCGACGACCTCGCAACACCAACGTGACGACTTGATCTTGGTCACGAACCTGCTAGTCATGATTCGATCCGGACGTGGCATGATTTTCATCTCCAAGCCCATTCTGTGACTTTTGATACTGAAGGAAGCTTCGTGGGACGACGCAACTCCTTGCGCCACAGCGCCTTCGTCTCCTTCAGTCCGCGAGCATTTGCTAGGAGCACGGACTTGTCCATCTGGCGATAATTTTTGTTCCGCGACCTTTCTCCATGCCTCCATTAGGTCTTCGCGTTTGGTTTCTGGTGGTCGGGGTTGTCGTCAACGCGCGGGACCATATCCTGCTGAGGTTGAAAAGGGAACTGCAGCATGATTTGCTGTCGGCCTCCGTTGGATACTGTGTGGTTTAAGAGGGGTCGGTCTATCCTTATTCTTCTCTTTTGCACTGGCCTTTGGCTAGGAACAAACTCTTCTTCACAATCAGGATTGCTGGACTTGGTCGATTGCCCCAAATCTGACGCGCTACTACGCTTCCTTCGCATATGCTCAAATGCGCAAGGCCAATTCTCTAAGGACAACCCCGCCAACGTTGGATCCTTTTTGATTGGGCATATGATGGTTTGGTTTTGGTTGATTCTCCTAAGCAAATCACCCTGTCGAGCTCGAACGTATTGCCCCAAGAAAACTCCACGAATTCTGCGCGATGATCCGAGCAGTTCCCAACCGTCCATCTGTGCCAATACACATTCTTCTCACATCTGGAGCCACCTTGACCACACTCTCTATGGCACGCATAGGACCGCTAGGAAATTCCGACCTATCCGACAAGATGGATTCAGATTCCCTTTCATACCTCGATGTTCTTCAAATACGCTACAAAATCGCCTGGCGCAAAACTTTCCACCCTGGATCTTGCGTTGAGGGCTGCGCGGAGAGTCTTGCCGTCTTGAGACATGATCACAGCCGATCGAGCATGAGTACGAACCATTTGAGATCCCGCAACGTCATCAGTCAAATAGCCCCAGGCACGGGGCAAGGCCGTTCTTGAAGCAAGTCACCTGGTACGATACCCACGAGATTCGTCCGAAAACGAGTTGAGATGGAAACCATCTTTGTTGATTTAGCAATTCATTCTTGGCGTTTGTGGTTTGAACGTCGCGCTGCACTGCTCCTACTCCTGTCAATCGTTGGGTTGCGCCTGATCCATCACCTTCAGCAGAAAAAAATCGAAAAAATTGTCATTTTTCTCGACCTTCTCTATATAAACTCAGAATGGGCCCTCTGCCGCGCTAGACAACACACGAACGCCATCTCTTTCAAATTGGCGACGACAGCTTCTGCCTGACTGAGCTTCGGCCAACCCACTGTGAAACGAAACGGTGAGAAAAGTTCAGCCACAGCGCGCTTGTTCTTCTTTCCTTTTGTCCAGGCTTCACTATGAGCGACCAGAAAAACGTTGCGCTCTTCTGGCTCGGGCAAACTAATTGATGCAAGGCTCACCTGTACAATGCTCAGTGTCACGACAAGCAACTGCCCTGCTCGATGTCAATGTCACGACCACCAACTGCACAATGCTCCATGCCCCGACTTGACTGCACAACACACCCAACCGCACACTGGTGAACGTCACGACCATCCACTGCACAACGCTCAATGCGTTGACTGTCACCCGCGCAATCTGCTCAACGTTGTCACGCTCATCCGTGTTTGACCGAAGCTCCTTCAATCGGCAGCATCTCTGTCTTTGCTTCACACTCACGTTCTCCGCAAACTGTCCAGCCGAGATTCTGTAGAGTCCCTGGAGTCCCTGGAGAGAGATAGCAACAAGCGAGCCTTCCCCTTGATCACAGCTGCATCAATGCCTCAACGCGACTTCTGCCATGGATGAGCACCGCATGGACAACTCTTCCTGCCGTCCCATTAATCTGTTGCGGTGAACAGCCGACTTTTTTGTGGCACAGTCTTCACGCGTCTGCTGCCTGATCAGAGTTCAACTGCGCCCTGAATCAATGATGCCATACCCCAGAGAAGACACTGACCAGTCCTTGTCGCTTTTTTTCTGCTTGAGTTCTGTGGGCAGCTTTGGGCCCAACGCCATCCTCTGAGTAATGGCGTTGCACCACATAGGCAGCTGCGCTTCTAGCCTGCTCCTTCACAGCCTTGAACTCTGGGACGCGCATGCACATTGCTGGCATGATGCTTTCCATCTTCAGATGTCCTGGAGTCTTCGCTGTCACAATCGCTCATTGCTCGCCTGACAAGCCTGAAGCGTTCAGACGATATATGTATATATATATATATACCTGAGAAGGGAGGGGACGAAAGCCACGGGCAGAGACGCACTTCCCTTTCTCCCACCCTGGTAGAAGACGGTTTAGATTACCTCCGGAGCCCCTCCTGATGCTAATGATGCACTCATGGTCGTCAATTACATCACCAGCATCACAACACCCCGCAAACCAATCCCAAACTGCAAATACTTTTCTTCGCTCTCCCCCACCAGGCTCTGGGTTCGCCCTCCAATGTGACCCCACCACTCACTTCACTCGCCCAGCCCAACTCCAGCCTAGCCTATCGGCTGGCTTTGTGATACAGTATATTTATTTATCTTTTTGTTTATATAAATATATATGTAATATTGCATATATTATATATATATATATGTGTGTATATATATATAGATTGCCCAGAGCCATGTTATATATAGATTGCCCAGAGCCATGTTTCCAAGCAGAACACATCTGCCTGTTGAGGGGCAACACAAACCCACAATCACACCTTCTGCTTCCCAATCTTCCCCTTCGGACAAGACCAGATAAAACCAGGAGTCAAGAGGAGAGGCAGGGGAATCGGGAAGCCAAGCGTCAAACAAAGTCGAATTGGGACTTCTCTGGCCACTGCAGCCAAGTTGCTGTGTGAAGCAGTCCTGCGAAAAAGGGAAGAAACCAGCAAAGAAGATGAAAAAAGAGAAAATGGAGAAGTAGAAATGGTCGTCCAGCTTTGCTTTCTTTCAGAGGACTAGCCTGAGCCTTCCAGTGACAACTGCTCGATACACCGTTCAACCCCTCGTATACTACATATATACCCCCTATGCAGCAACGAATTCAAGAAACCTGTTGAAGCAACTGAAGCCAGCAAACAATCGCCTGCAAAGTCTGTGTGATGTATTCCTTAACCATGCGACAAAAAGGATTGGTTCGATGGCGTCCTTTCTCCAAAACTGATAGTTTTAGCTCCGCGGCTGTATGCTGATTGTCCAGCTTTTGGATACTCTCATCAAATAGATGCTGGGACCCTCGGTGGTTGCGGTTTAGACCCCAAACTTGCATCGTATCCCCTAGGCCTTACCTCCAGAAGGGGTCACCCATTCCAGGCCCTAGTAGTTGAGGGTATTCTTTTCGTGCTTTGTGATGCAGACATGTAAAGCCACAGTGTGCGTCTCTATGGAAAACGCCTGTTTTGATTTGGACGATTACCTGGGACGGCGCTCTTCCAAGACCCTTTAAATGCTCCTCCCGAGTCATGAGGAAGGTGACATGTCAACAAACGCCTAGTGATCAAGATCCCCTTATCGGGCAAACAAAGAAGGTAGACAAAGCGAAAACTATCTCCCGCTGACAATCGACCCCTTCAAAGTACTGCTGATACATGTATATTAAATGAGATGTATTGTATATTGTATATATATATATACTACCCCCCCAAATGTTTACCTTTTTATATAGTTAATTCTATACTAGCTCAATACAAATTGAATTCTCATTTTATTGTGACTTTATTCTAGAAAGGGGGTTTTGCTGGGGGTGTGATTTTAAGAAAACAACCTTTAAGAAAGCAACACATAACTCACATCCTGAATGACCTAATTCTAAATCAATTCTGATTGAAACCAAATTCAAATCTATTTAGACCTACTGTAATTAAATGCTAATTCTATATCAATTATCATTCAATTCAATTTTAATGTTGAGTAACTTCCACATAGTATATTTTACTTGGAATTCAATGCAAATTTAGTTCTAGTTAATGTTTACTTCTTTTCAATTTAATTTCTATGCAGTTTATGTTTAAATCTAATATAATTCTATTTGTTCTAATCTAGTTATGTGCTTTATGCAGTTCTAAGTTGCTTCTAGAGAGTGCGTCTTGCTTTTAAAACGAACGCTTTGTATATAACTTATGCGTTGCTTTCTTAAAGGTTGTCTTCTTAAAATCACATCCCCAGCAAAGCCCTCTCTCTAGAATAAAGTCAGAATTAAATGAGAATTCAATTTGTTTTGAATTAGAAATAAATTGGCATTGAACTAGAATCGAATTAAAATTAGATTAGAACGAATCAAAACTAAATTGGAAAGCAAAATAGAATTAAACTAGAGTTGTAAACAACTCAAAAAAATTGAATTGTGTAAGATTTAAACTAGGTGAAACCAAAAATTAATTACAAAAAAGTGAAATGTAAACAAAACTAAATTTGAATTAACATAATCTAGATGAGGACTAACTATTTTTGTTAAACTAAGATTTAATCTAAGGTTCATTGTTTCAAACAGAATTGGGTTAGAATTAGGATACAAGTAGAATTGACATAGAATTGCTTAACCTGCAGATCGATTAGAATTCACTTACTGCAATAATGAACTAGAATTAGACTTGAATGAGAATTAAAGTTAAAATGACATTTGCAATAGAACTAGATTAGAATTGAATTCAAATTCAGTCAGAATGAATTAAAATCAAATTGGAGAGTGAAATTAAATTTAACTGCTAAATCAATTAGATTCAAATTTGAATTCAATCAGGTTCATGAATTTAAGATTTAAATTAGACTAAAAGAATTAATTAGAGTTCAATAGAATTAATCATAATTAAGCTGTTTATTCTTAGCATGAAGTTCAATTTGGGTTTAAAACTATACGCTAAACTTGCATAACACTTAAAATAGAATTGAATTAGATCTAAATTTGAAGTCCATTGGAAATAGAAGCTGTACTTCAGAATGAACATTTGATTATATTACAATTCAAATCTAAATCAACTTCCAAAAAATTTATACAGGTTTCACAAACGCCAAAAGGACCAAAACACTGGCAAAGCAAAAACAAAAACTTTGAGGATAGTTTTTGGTTCAGCCTCAAAAGAGCGTGTTTTTGTTTTCATTGTATGTGTTTTTTTGGTGTTGAAATCCAAAAACCAAAAAACGCTATGTACCAGAACACTGCCAAAAACAAAAAATACATGTGCTTATTTTTGAGTATTTGATGTTTGGTTTTACCATTGCAGACGTTTGCGTTCAGGAAGCTTATGAATGCTCCTTCCACACTGTACTCAGCACAAAATCCAGAAATAGCGTTTGCAAACGTTTGCAAACGAGAGGGGATTCAAGATTCAAGATTTAAGATTCAAGACTTAAGATTCAAGATTCTGAATTTTGTGCTGAGTACAGTGTGGAAGGAGCATTCATAAACTTGTTGAACGCAAACGTCTGCAATGGTAAAACCAAACATCAAATACTCAAAATGGGGGATATGTGTTGTATGTGTTTCCTTTCATTTGTTATCGTTCTTTTGAATTGGGAAGTGCTTTGTTTTTGTTAGATTTTTTATACCCAAAAATATGCATAAAACACTGTAAATACCAATCAAAACCAAAAGAGGTAGACATTTGGGGGGGTATCATATATATTATATTATTATGGTAGCCCCCTACATAGAGTGTAATTGTATATATATATATATAAGATTTGGAATAGATTGGCCAGGGCACCAATGGAGAGATGGAGTGGGAAGAAGAGAAGTGGGGAGAGAAGAACAATCATGATCTAAAGAATAGAAAAGTCCTGTGGCTGAGCACAAAAAAATGTCGGACCAATGCCACCACAAACAAACATGTTTGAAGGCAAATACCAACAGCAAATTCATCGAACAATCTGGGCAGGGCCGATGCTTTACAAGTGAGACGTCACTTCATAATTGAAAAGCAAACTCTCATTGGCTGAAGCGACCCCTTAGAGTCACTCACCTCTTGCAAGGCAACCATCACATATTAGCTCTTTGAAAAAAGAAGTGCAAACACAAAATAATCTGAAAAGGTGATTTAGTAGGTTCGGTCTGCCTTAGTTTCTACCAGTGCAACAAGCCCGTCCTGAACGGCATGCATTCACATACACGGAGAGAGTTCGACATCACAAGATTTGCGGACAAACGCAAAGATCCACACAATGCGCATGCAAGTTCTAAATGCTATCTGCTACGTAAGGTAAACTCACCCGCGCTAAATCTGCAAAGCCCCTTCGCGCAGCACAAATATGTCAACACAAGAAGCAGCAGCAGACAGTTCTCTTTTGAACATGATGGATGCGCCAGTCAATCCAATCTCGCTGCGGCTGATGTTCTGTCCGGACTATGACTGGAAAACTGTTGCCTCAATGACATCTTCAAATATGGAGACATCTCCAGCACCCTGGGACATGCAAGCTGCGATCGAGTGTGGAAGTACTGGTATCAATTCTGGCCACGCCTGTCTTCGGAGCACTGGCTCCTCCATAGTCAGATCCAAGACCTTGGCCACGCGTGAAGCACCATTTCCGATTAGAAGGCCCATAGCAAGTTCCGGAGCAGGTACCAGAGCAAGTTGTGGAGCAGGTGTCGAAGCAAGTTCCGGAGCAGCTTCCGGAGCAAGTTCGCGAGCAGGAGCAGCTTCCCACAAGTTCCGGAGCGCTTTGCAAATATGGGAGGTGCAGCTATGATAGTGGAATGGCCCCTGGACCTAAATTATGTCAGTTTTACACAAGCATTGAGAATCAGGAAAGCAGCTTCTATGGGCGGTCTGACTGGTGTTTGCCTACTCTATATCGCCCCTAAGAATTGCTGTCTCGTTCATTGCTGAAATCAGCATTCTACAGTTATTTAATGTGGTATGCCCATTCAACATGAAGTTTGGGGGTCTATGTCAGTCTTTTTTGTAACTTTTCAACACGCCGATTGCATTGTGGAAAATGGTAAGTTTAGTACTCCCAGGTATGTCGAGGGAGGAGGTCTACAGTAGGGGCCATACAATGTTGTCACGGCATAGCGCTGGCTGACACGGCGTGTTGTCACGCTGGGGTTTTGACACGCCGTCAGGCTACCGCGCAGTCTTGGCCAACCTGCTAACACGTTGTATTTCTGACACACTAAGGCGCTGCCACGCCGATGAGCTGACATGGCCCCCTGAAGAAACTTGTTGCGGCATTGTAATGCATATTTGCTGACATGGGCTACACTGATGCAGTGCCGCGCTAGAAGGTTCACACCGTTTAAAACAACAGTGTCTAACAAACACACGCCATCTGTACTGTACTTGTTAACTTGCAAGAGTCGCACGTTTGTGGCCAAATGCCAAATGTTGCCATTGCTTGATCAACAAATGTGCATTGTTCTGTTTTGCCTATTGAAAATGTTTTCTATAGAAAATACCTTGGGGCCCCGGACAGTTGAAACTCTGTCAAGGTCGTTCGGAGCATCAAGCGCTTCCACGCCCTCAGCTTGAAAAGGCGAACGGCGGGATTCTTCAGGCAGGACGGCCTCAGGATTCTACCTAATTGCAGCTTTCCGAACTTTCCTTGAAAAACGTTACAGGCCCATCAGCCATGTCTCTGCCTAGCAAAACCTTCCACGTCAGCCTTTGATTTTTTGCCAAGCAAAATTAGGCAAGGAACATTGGTTGGCGACGCAGGCTAAGGCTGAGGACGCTGCTACCACAAAGTCTAGTTTTGACCTGTCCTGCTCCCAGATCTCCTGGGCGCGGTAAATAGATCTGTCGCTTCACGCACACTGTGTCAAAGCCGTAATCAAGCGTCACACAAATGCATTTGCAGGCGCTGACGAAGCGAGCAAAGGCTCTGCCAAATCTTCAACCATCTGTGAAACCTTGTTGCGTTCAACCCCCCAACCATGTCAGAGACTGCGATTTGTCTTTCACCTGTTTGTCGTGACAGCGCATTCCTCAGCCCACTGCAATGGAATTGTTTGGGATTCGGATGCCAACCTCCCGTCGTTTCCAGATCTTCAAGTGGGCCTTGTGTTCAAGCACCACGCGCGGCCTCGCAAACTCCACACAATTCAAAATTCAACAACTCAATAACTGAAGTATATCTTCAAAAATAGAACAACAAAAACATGTGAGAAACTTTCAGCACATGTTCCAATATTCTTGGTCAGCACTCAACCCTGAGTGAGCAACACAGCCGCTGAGGCACGCAATATGAATGTGTAGGGTCCTGTGACACGCTAAACGATAGAAAAAATTGCCGAAACACCAGGCACCTTTAAAAAATATATACAGCCTCAGCCGCTATCAACAAAAAGAAAACGCCAACCCCCCGGCGCCGTTGCATCAACCGTCTCCGAAGCCCGATGAAAGTCGGACGACCAGCAATAACATGTGGTTTCGTAGGTTTTTGGTGACCCCGAGGTACGTTCTTTCAGCACTGAGACAGGATCATAGATGTTGCTCTGGAATTCAGCAACTGCCAATTGGTCAACGTGGGCTAAGCGAAGTGCTTTTGCCGCCAAAACTTTTGCCCAAAAGTTGGAGGCGCCTCAAAGTTCACTTGATGGCGCTAATAGCAAATTCACCGTTCCCAGTCAACTGCGCAGCTTTGCAGCTGTGCGCGGGGCACGGAGTTCACAGGGTTCGCGGGGTCCGCGGGGCCCGTCTATCGGTAGGCCCTTTGCCGTTGTCGTCAACCAACGTCAATGGTAGACGGTGGTGTTTGTGACTTATGCCGGCACGTCCGCGTCCGACGCCTGCGTCTCTCGAGCCCCACGACGAAGTGGGGCTCGACGTGGCGTTTGACTGATGAGGTGACGTGGCACCGGTTAGACCGTCCGTGTCGATGGGTACCGGTGAGCTGGTGGCGACAGACTGAACAGACATTCGAGTGTATTCACTGAAGCGGAGACGCGGTAGAGCATTCTGCAGAAATATCTGTGTTCGCGCGCGGAAAAAAACGCGCTTTGTTTTCTAAAAATATGGTAGTTATATAGTCCCTTGTTATATATATGTAAGTTATAAACGACTTCTGGAACTTATAAATACGATATACCTTAGTTATAACTTAAAGTTATAACTAAGTTATAAATAACTTCTTCTAGGGTAAGTAAGTTATAGCTAGCATACAACAAAAACCTTATATGGTAGGCAGAGTATATGCGTTGGGTTTCTTAGGCTACTGGACTTATAACCCTTCTGGTGCGCACGCAGCGCTAAGGACATCGGTCAAAGCATGCTAGCTTAGCGCCGAACAGACCCAAAGGTTGGCAGCAGGATGCACTTTCCAAAAAGTTACCACTGTGATAGGTTTTGCAAATATACGCCACTATCTGCGGTGCGCAGTTTTTCCACCACTTTGGATTTCAAGGTACTACTACTACTACTACTACTACTACTACGACAACTGCGACTGCGACTACGACTACGACAACTTCTTCTACTACTACTGCTACCACCACGACCACGACCACGACCACCACCACCACCACCACCACCACGACCACCACCACCACCACGACCACCACCACCACCACCACCACCACGACCACCACCACGACCACGACCACGACCGCGACCACGACCACCACAACAACAACAACAACAACAACAACAACTACTACTACTACTACTACTAAGACTAGGACTAGGACTAGGACTAGGACTAGGAGTAGGACTGACGACGACGACGACAGAAGATAGAACTCAGGTAACTAATGCAACCTTTGCTGATGTATAACCGTGTTCGGCAGCACAGGATTTGCACGCGACACGATCCAGGAGTGGTTCATTGATGCATTCTTGGTGCTTTTCACGGTGAAAGTAGGCCTAAATGTACACGTACACATTGCCCTGCACTACAGTCCCAGCCCCTCCCTCCTGGAAGACAAGATTTCATTGCCTGGAACCTTAAAAAGCTCCATGTGGACAAAGAGCATGAATCAAAAAATGTCAAAGCAAGCAGCTAAAAAGAACAGCTTAGATTCTAGACGCACATGATTGGGCTCAGGCCAACGTCGAGGGATGGCTGTCATGTCGCAATAGTGGGACGCCATGGACAAATCTGAGCCTCAAATCAACTCGTGAAGAATAACAAGGGTATGTGTCTAATGTTGCAAAACAAAACCCAATAAGCCTTAATCAAATATGTCACACAATTCGTGTTGCAAAGGACACAGGAGGCTCAAGGGTTTCCGCTGGTCGGTCGCCACACCCTGTCCACAAGCTCAAAATGAGAGTTCTTAATTTTCTTGTCAAAAATGCGCCTATGTATATGCTCCTGTACCGTAAATAAGGCGCTAAGTTTTGCTGGAGAACCAAACCAAAAATCGCAACACGTTTCCTGAACCATGCGCGCAAACCGCCTACTGCAGCATGCAGCATGCACATGTTAAAACGACCGCAGAGTTGGAGGGGCGTGCAATTAGATAATTAGACCTTTGCGTTACTGTTATTTGCTGCACCGCTGTCTTGCACAAGCACACCCGTTGCTCGTATTCTCCAGCGCCATACACACAATCCGATGGAATTGAGCCACCACCGGCTCCTTGTCCAACGATTTCCTGAAAAATGACATCATCCCCTCCAAGGGGTGACGGACTGGTGGACAAACTTGAAGAAGGTGTAAGGCGTTTGTTGACGTTGAGCCCCTGGGTTGACCAATGTTGACCACCAAAAATGAACAGAATGGACTACCTAGGAGGTCAACCTACCCTGGTTTGGGGCGCCGGGTTTTGGCTCACAGCCATATATGAGACAACTCGGCAACGTGCAAGCAGCACAAGACGCCGTTGTGGGTACCTGTGCCAACCAAGTTTTTCCACTATAGGGGGCCATGCACCATCATTTTGATTTTGGTCTTGGGTAGCCGTTGGTTGTTTTCCTTGTCCACCAAAGCCGGCGAAAGCAACAACACCCTTTTGTGCGCATATCCATCAATGCACGGTAAATGAATGTTTAAAATAGAAGCCTCAGAAGATAAACTTTACTCACCAACTTGTCTTTGCCCTGACCACACATAACGTGACAGAACTATGTTCTGCACTGCAACGCGCCTTGATATCATAGATCCTCTGCGTTCCGGTTTTGCTGCTAATGGCAGTGACGAAAGCGTGCTGCGTGTCAGTTGGGATCACACCTTATCTGCATGCCGCGCGTCAAAAACTCAATTTGCCTATAGGAACCCATTTTGTCCAGCAACCATTCTGGGAAATGTTTACCTCACCTTTGCCCAGCTTCCTTGAAGACACATAGCTCTGCAGTCTACTGTGATGTTTTCTAATGTATAAATAGTTTCCAAGTTTGCGACAACTACTGTACTTCCTACTACAAGTACTTGCCCTACCTCGGCCTATTGGTCACAAAAGGGAACAGAGACACACAAGTGACACTACAAAAGCAGCAGTGCAGGCCAATCAGTTGTGTGTCTGGAGCAAATTGGTTCCTGGCCCACACCATCAAGCGATAGACTTTCTAGAGCAGCCCCAAGCTGGAACAAATGAGGTCCTTCCAGCCTCACTGAGGTCCCACATCTCAAGCTACCACGGCTATGCTAATCTTGTTAGTCTATTGCAACGCCTATCCTTTACAGCTTTCACATGGCTCTCCAGTTTACAAGAACATATTTTTTAAAATAATGCACTCAAAAGCAAACATATCCCTTCCAAGCGCCTCGAAGGATCTGCAGAACCTGTTCTCTTTAAAGTTTGGTTTGATGCTTGGGTCCTCTGACCCCCGTTCAAGTTCGATGTAAAAATCCTTGAAAATCGTGACCGCGGGTGTGGCAGGCAGATACTCTCACCCAGCGAGCCACACCCGGCCGGTCTGGCCCCCCGCACACCCGGTCCAGCTGATGAGCTGGAGTGTGGCTCTGCCAGAAGGAGCACATAGCACCATGCCTGAGGCGATTTCCAGGCCACAGGCGCCTGTCCCTGCTGGAGGAAAGCTCGCTATCAGTCCCCATGCCCGATCAGTGCGATTTCAGGGGCGCCTGTCACACTTAGCGTGCCTAAAGGGATTGATTGCGGTTAAGAATAGGGTTGCAAAACCCAGCGCATTAACTTGTGGATCTTCATCGGCCTGGATACTTTGGGCGGGCTCTCTTCTCACGTGTGAGGGAGCCAACCGGCAGCCCCCTTGGCGAACGGAAAAAAACTAGTAACTAGCTGCATCAGGACTGCCGCAATAAGCATCTTCCGCGTCGCATGGCAAAGATGCTGCCCTGGTTGTCGGAGATGAGGGGGATCCGGATCCGGACGCCCTTGGACATTAGAAAGGAGGCCAAGGGCAAAAGCAGGGATGTTTGCGCAAGGGTTGGCTTTCAAGAAAGCCCAAGAGTTACGGTCCTTAGTCAACTGAAAGTTGGAATCATCAGACCTCTTGCTTCTCGGGATTTGCACGGTCGCTCAGCCATCCGCCCACAAAGCTTCCGGAATCACCAGCACTGGCGTCTCCATGCCACGGCAAAGGGGGAGAGCAGGGGGTAGGTTGAATGGGTGGCACTGCTGTGAAATAATGAGTGGGGCCCATTGTTCGGGGCGCTTTGGGGCGCTTGGCAGGCAGGGTTTAGAGATGTGAAGGCGGCGCGGCCAGCAATGTCTCTGGCTCACCGTGGGGCCCTCATGCCCTTGCGCTGGTCTTTTGTGAGGCGAGGAGTCTTCAACAATGGCCTGATGCTGACCCCAACCCACGAGGTCTTCCCCAACACGCGCAGCGCCACAGGCGACTGCCTCCTCCGAAACAACAGACGGCGACTCCATGTCCTTGCGCTTGCGCTGGCGCAGAGGAGGTTCCGTCGGGGGCGACTTAGTCGGTGGAGTAGAAGGATCGACCTCCATGGGCGCCACCAAGTCTCCACAGTCTTGGTGTAGCCCAGGCCGCCGCGTGGGAGGTCATCGGGGAGTTCGAGGAAGTAGTGGGCGCCGCTGCCACCAAAACCGCCGCAGGCGCCAGGGCCGTCTCCCCCGCCATCTGGTCTTCAGCGCCACGGGCGACTGTACCAGCCGGAGGGGTGACATTCCGATTCATCGTTGGGAAGGATGGTGTGGGCATGTGCCGGCTATAGGGCATCATCCACATGGCCCGCATTCTCGATGACAGCCTCTTCCTGGAACTTCCATGAGGCAGAGTTCCTTCTCACGAGCATCCGCTTCAGAAGGGTCCAAAGTGAACGAGGTCTCCGCTCCATCAAGGATGGACCAGTCGAAGAATTCTCCCGAGCCAGTGACAGTGCTTGCCATGGCGATCAGTGAAAGTAGGGGAGAGCGAATGCCATACACGTCGTTCTTTCAATGGAATGCGGACTTGAGCCAAAATGGCATGGCATTTTGGCTAATGAAATGTATTAAGGAAACAAAACCTGCTTTCCACAAGCTCCAAGCACGTTCTAATTAACCTTTCCAAGCACTTGACGGTTCTGAAAGGAAGACATCCTCCAGCTGTATGTATTCTGCCTCACCAGCTGGAAGACTCGAGTTGACTCGAGTTCTGTCAGTATTTTCTGAAGCACTCTGCCTAGACTTAGACTTATGGTGTCAGACCTGGAAACATACCAAAGAAGTATAGCACATTGTTTCAGCGGATATCCAACAAGTGGCTTCTCACCTCCGTTTTGCGCATGTAGCGACGTCTTCGCGCTCTTGCTCTGCATGCCTTATAATTCAGCACGAAGGGCAACTTCCGAAGTTGTGGTTAGAGTATATGAATTCAGTACAGTAGTCTTGTCAGCTGGCAAGTCAAAGCAGTGTGGTCTACTAGTCTCCTGACGTATCTGGGCGGAACATGGTGGAACCTGCTCCTTTTCTTCGCAGCTTTGCAATTGGACTCAGCCCTGATTCTTCCACTTGCGCCACAGCTCGGTCTCAACATTCTCAAGGACAAACTCGTGCAAAATCATCTCCAAATTGTCCTCGGCCAGACATCCGCTTGCTGAGCTCGAAGAGTTCAAAGTGGACTTAAGGGCTCGGAGGGGAGGTAGGCAGGGGACAATGAACCAAGGTAGAGCAAAGGCAGACCGGCAGACCAGCAAACTGTGCACAAGCATTGAACGATATTGGGCGTGAGGACGAGCATGCAGCGAAGGATGCGCATTCGGAGCATGAGGAAGAATGCGACGACCAGCATGAGGCTCAGGATCAAAAGGAGAATCAAAATCAGGCCCAGGGGCAAGGGTGGGTAAGAATAAAGTGGATGAAGTAGAGAGGTAAATGAGGTTGAGAAGCAACCGGTCCAGGGCGGCACGGAAGGGGTGAGAGACTGGACCAGGGGGAGTTGATTAGGCAATCATGATTGGGGAAGCACCAATGATTTTTGATATCAATTGTCAAAGTTAGTAGACCACGCCAATAAAGGCTTTTCACAACCCAAAATGGGTGAGCAAAGGTGCTGTTGCGCAGGTCATTGGTGCTGCCCCTAAAACAAGTGAGTTTGCGTTGCATCGAACTGCTATCTTAAAAGACACGACCATGAAGGATGGAAACAGCAAATCGTGTATTCGCCCTTACTGCAGTTCCACCAGTCTCCATCCGTGCTATCATCAAAACCAAGAATGTCATGGCAGACTGATAGTGCTATGTGGTCATAGTTGGGTCACAAAAGTTCCTTTGCAGTCTGGGGTCTTGTTCAGTCTTGTAGACCTTAGCAGGATCAGGTCCACCGCCTGGCATCATGGGTGCTCCACCCATGGTTCCCATCCTTAGCAAACGGCAACTGTCAAGACATGGCCAGGTGCAAAACAGCCAATGTGTTTGACGCACCCAACCCCCATCCCAACTCTTGCAGATAAAAAGTCATAGCCATCATCGGATCCTCTGCTTCAACGTCCGACTTGGTGAAGAATGACTGTACCAATCCGATGAGGCTGTGACTACTCATCATCACAAACCTCAACAAGAGCAAATCAGAGCAAGGGGAGATGAGGAGTTTACCGTCCGAATGAACAATGCATCTCAGTGAAATGGTGAAAAGGTCCAAATGGACACAAACCAGGCCAAGCCACATGTACCAACACAATGAAGAGACGTACCCCGGTTCTAGTGCTGTCACTTCTACTCCTCGTTGCAGCATCCCCTGGCACCCGCAGAAAGCAAACACTGAACAAAGAGGCTGTTCTTTTTCGCATTTGGCCGCCCGGCCCTGCCTTGAATTGGAATGTCAATGGAAACGGAGTCTTTGCCACCAGAAAGCCCGAAAAGAGGTGAGAAACCCAGTATGCTAGCAGCCCTTGAGAGACCATGAAGACCATTTGCCCCTTCATCATCCCCATCGCTGCCATTGGATCTGATCCTGCAGATAAGGCTTCCATTGGGTCTTTCGCCTTGGGCACAGACTTCACCAAGACACCTACATCTTTCTTGACAAAATATGCCTTGCGGGACTTGAATGCTTTCTCAGTGAGAAAGTGGGATGCTGCACGAAGCATCTTGCATCTCCCAAGCATGCTTTGCGTCTTCACTTCTTTCACATCCACTTTGGGGTCCGATTTGAAGAGTATCATCAGGCTCGATCGAATCATAGATGTCAGGACAACCACCACAAAAATTGGCAGCAGCACATTGTCGCGAATTTTGGGATCTAGCAAAATCCCCATCAAACCATGAACGTGCACACGGTGCACTGGCACGCTCTTTGCTATTCGATCACCGCAAAGCCGGCTGCAGCCCAAATGGCTGCTAGAAGCTGAGCCAATATTGCTGGAAACATGTCTCGGGGCTTTAAACGGACTCATTTAAGAAGTAAAGAAGACACCCTGACAAGTGCAAGAACAAGACATTTTACCATAGCACGTATGCAAATCTGTGCACAGAGACAAAGAGAGCAAGCGGATCGTGGTGGCAAACATGCTGCCATAGGGTCTAGTGAGTGCCATGAATGCACTGAGGGCCAAACAGAAACTGCGCGCATGGGGAAGCGTCCCAACACAGCTCTACAGGTGCAGGCCTTCGCTTCACATTCAAACTGGCACCTCTCGCAATCTCTACATTTGCTCATTTATGCTCTCTTAGGGAACGGCCTCTACTTATATTTTGTATGGATATGAATTAGTCACCAGGGGTGAATGCGAGAGCGCAGGGGAAGCGTTGGGAAGCGTTGGGAAGTGTCCCTTAACTAGTGATGAGACAGAGACGCGCTAAGTGTCACCAATTAGAACACGCAGCAGTGGCTCGAGAGTGAGAGTGAGTGTGAGTGAGTGAGAGCGCGGGTGTGAGAGTGGGAGAGTGACTGAGTGTGAGTGTGAGTGTGAGTGTGAGTGTGAGTGTGAGAGTGAGAGTGAGAGTGAGAGTGAGAGTGAGAGTGTGAGTGAGTGAGAGGGAGTGTGAGTGTGAGTGTGAGTGAGTGTGAGTGAGAGTGAAGGTGGGTGCGAGTGTGAGTGAGAGTGCGAGAGTGAGTGCCAGCCTCCGTGAGGACATATGAACATGGTCAATGGGGGTGAACGCGAGAGCGCAGGGGAAGCGTTGGGAGGCATGCGGGGCCGACGTGACAGGCCTTCAGTCACAGGTGCGTTTTCTTTTGGAGGAAGGGGTGTTTGGAAGAGAAAAAAGGCACAGCGAAGTCATTGCTTGTCTGCGGCTGGGTTCCGTGTTTTGTGGATGGACTCATAAACCTGCGCCCACTCCCATCCACCCTTACAGTGCATAGCCTGAACTTCGATCGATCCGCGCCAGAGCCAACCACTGACGTTCCCTTCCACTCTTACTCACCAGCCGACCTCTTTTCCTGTCACGTTGTCCCCTTCCCTCCTATCCTCTAATATTCACGTTCTCTCCAGAGTGCTGTGCGACGCACTTCTCGCTTCCCTGGTGAGCTCCCCACCTCTTTTTCTATCACATCCGCCCCCGCGATGCCTCTCCTCTCCATGAACGCCCTTTTGCTTCTGCTTAACAGGCCTCTTCCCCAACCAGTTGAAAGCTGGCCCACTGCATTCTCTTCCCTCTACAGATCACAAGAAAACAGAGTGTTGGAAGACGCGCATCTGCCTTGTCAGAAGGACTTCCAACCACTTTTCACGCTTCATTGTTTCCCAATACATCTCCCTTGCCGCTGAGCAACGCACTTCTCGCTTCCCTGGTGAGCCCCCCACCTCTTTTTCTATCACATCCTCCCCCGCTAACTCCCACCCCATATGGGCCAATATGGGCGTGCCCTTTTGCGTATGGTAGTTAACAGGCGTCTTCACCATGAAAAAGAGCGCCCCCAAGCAACTCAAAGACTTCTTGCAATCCCTCTTTTCCTACCACGTCCTCTTCCGCTATGCCTGTCTTCCACACGCCCTTTTGCGCCTGGCTACTGCGCCGCTTCACCATTAAAGAAAGGCCCACCGCATTCTGTTCCCTCTGCTGCCCTCGCAGATCACACCATTTCCACAAGACAACAGTGTGTTGAGAGACGCGCGCCTCCTTTTCACCCCCGTTCAAAGACTATTTAAATAGCCACAAGAGACGCACCTTCCTTTCCCGGAGGCGTTTCCCAACCACTTTTCACGTCCCGTTGCCCCCCTTTCCTATCATCGACTTGCTATCAGCTGGCTTTCGCGATATACAACGCTTTGTTCGGCGTCATTCCGAAACCCAACTCAGGCCAAGTCTGTTAACATGCATATAGGTGGCCTCACAAAGCATCCCACATCCACTCAACGGACTGAAAGGGCTTCACATTCTGTAACAAAACGTGGGCTACCCAGTTTGAAAGGTTCAACAAAGGAAACCGTTTGAGATTTCCGTTACATTTGACTCAGCATTTAGGTCGTGGCATCAGCCTGCAGAAGCCTGGCTCAGCAATATTTTTTCGAATTAATTTGCAGATCTCTACCTACGATCAAAAACCAAGGGAGGAGCCACCATTCCACCAATTGACCTCAACGGACAACTGTAACTGTAACAACTCAAAAAGAAAGGACACACAGACCTCACGGACCTCACAATGCACTTTGGCGCTTGTTCGGCAACTTCTTCGCAACGAGTTCCATCCCAAAGGGGAGTTCCTTGGCAGGTGTGTCTTTGCGTGTTTTTGTTGCGAGTGGCCCACCTGCCTGGTATCCAAACAAAGTCCCAACATCAGGAACCAGTCAAGGATCCAATGTGTAAAGAAAACAGTTTGCATTGAACTCTGAGTCATTCTACCAACAGTTTGAATCAAAGTACATTGTGGATGAACTGCCGCCTGCTGGCCACAATGTTGAACAGAATCAATGTTGTAATACCAGTTGGTTAAATCAAATGGTCGAAGAAACATGATGGTGCATCTGGTTGCTCTGCTGAATGGCGTGACACGATGAAACATGAAGAGTTTGCGCACAACCTGCAAGTCGGGATTCAATAAAACAGGCCTTAGATCCGACAAATCTAGTTTGAGCCTGTTGTTCCCGACTGTCTAGTCATCTAATTTGCTCTGGACTCGAAAATCACATGGGTCGCAAGTTGCTTAAAAACAACGCAAGGCAAAAACCACGGTTTATCTTTTCAGCTTTGCATTTGGAAACACAAAACAACAAAGAACACCTTAAATCGGTATATTGTTTCCGAAGTTCACGCTGCAACACGGCAGAACAAAATCTACCGTGTCTTCTAAAAACTTTGGTGTCTGCATGATATCAAACGTTGGCCGTTTTGATGCGCTAACGAAAAAAAGTGCCGACGCATGCCTCTGCAACCTGGATGAGCCTGGATTCTGGATATGCACATCGTCACCAGCGCCCACCTTTCAATTGTTTTTCGCTTCCAAATTGCTATCAGCAGCACAAAGCATGACAACCCGGCAAGCGAATCCAGTTCAAGACTTTTGACCGCAACCACAAGTAAGCACTTCGGCACAAACATTTCGCAACCAAAGTGGTTAAACACTATGTACAAATGGCCGCAATGCGCAAACGGACCGGACAGCCAAACAGGCCACCTGTGATTGCCGCGCGGCCATGTTCCGAAATCAAATGATCCGAAGGCTTGCTACTCTTGAACGAGTGCCTAAGCACCTGCTCTTGGCAACTAAGCCTGAGAACGTTCCCTCACTAGAGCAAATGCCTCCAGCACAATTGCGCTGAGCAGTGCAACAGAATTGGTCGCCAAGTGAATGAAGTGGAATCACGCCCAACAAACCGGTTGCATGGTTGGGGTACCCATTTTCCGCCCGCGCCGCCATCATGCTGAAAAACAGAAGCCATGTCAGCGGTGTCTTTTTTAAACGTTTTTGAACGCAAGAAGCCCCCAACACGCGCGCGCGCACTTATTCTAGACATATGCTCACAAGAGCTGAACCAGTTATCAGAATCCAGTGAAATAGCACTTACTTGAAGATTAGGTACTGCGGGAAGTGGCAGGATGCCTCCCTTCGTGCACCATGGATGGTCCTGCTCATGGAGGCTGCGGCGATAGAACGTAGGAATAGCTGCTCTACAGACTGTCGACTGGTGCGCTGCCGTCCTGTCCTTTTACAGGCTACAACCAAGCGCAATGGCCTTCGCCATCACTGCAACTGCTCTTACTTGGTGCCTTCGTCAAGTTGAGGAAATCCTCGTTGAAGGTGGTGAACCGATTGTCCACATGTCGGTAGTATGTAAAATTATGGGCCTGGGTGTGATCAGTGAGGGAATGGTGGGGCTGAGTCCAGGAACGTTGCAGAGTGCTGAGCTGGTGAGAGTTGAGAGCCTATGCCGGCGCCTCGCGGAAAAGAAGGCGGCGGAAGCTTGGAAGATGCATGTGTTGAGCGCTGGACAACGTGGGGTATGTCCATTGCGTCGATGGTGCGATGGGCAGCATGGCTGCGGCAATGGCGGCCGATGTGGGAATGTTGGTCGCCTGTTGCTTGTTGGATGTCAATGGTGAGGTGGAGGTAGAGTGTGTGAGGTTCCATTTTCGTAGTGAGGCTCTGGACTGCATCAATCAGGCGATCTTGGGGAACGGAGTTGAAGAACATCGTTGTTTGCATGTAGGGTGAGAAGTGACGGGCTTGGTTGATGATGTGAATTGCTTCCCTCTCGCCGGGTATTCTAGGCTTGCTGCCATGCGTCTGAAGGCGTAGACCTCCAAATTGCTGTAGTGCCCGGAACGTAGATCGCGCGCTTCATCGAATGAAGCCCCCAGCGAAGTGGAGCCGATGTAGAAGTGGCCTGTGTCGAGTGACACGGCGATTGAAGTTGAGTTGGACGTAGACGGAGTTGGGTGAAAGGAACCGATGAAGCGGTAGTTGTGTGGTGTGATGTGAAGCTGGCAGAAGCGTTGGCGCCATTGTTGAGAGCGATGGGTCTTGGACGGGTAAGTGAAGAGTGCTGTCAGGTGGACCAAACCAATGCTGAAAATGGCTTCGGTGCAGTCAATGAAGGTGGCTTTGTGGACAAGGGTGGACAATGCGTGGTGTAGGGCGCGCGTGCGGAGAAGGTTTTCATGAGACGGGGAAAGGAGTGCTACGCTGACGAGTCAGCAGGCCATGGCCGTGCCGGTGGCCCACCAAATTCTGAAAACGTTTGATAAAAACTTCTTCACCTTGTCATTGGGAACGCGGTGCTTGATTGAGGCCTCTTTCACTTGTTGTTCAGTGGTTCCGGTGGTCTGGAGAAGGGTCAAAATCTCCTGCAGTGGCTGGTCCACTGGAGGATCTGTGGCATGGACCACTTGTCGGGCACATCATCCTTCAAAGTGGGATGGGCTGGTTGGAGTACTTGTTCAATGGCGGTGTAGGCTTGGGCGTTGGTGTGTGGAGGACAGGGCGGGCGCTGCGTCAACGTACGGCCGTGTTCTTCGAGTTTGGCACGGGCCTTCTGGAGCTCCTCTTGCTGGGAATGAAGTTGCCTGAGAGCACTGCCTTCGGCCAGTGCAGGCGCATGCTTCTGAAGGGTTTCAGTGATGAGGGTGGTAAGGGGTTGCGTGAAGGGCCCAGCCTCAGTAGTGTTGTGGAGAGTGTCTGCAACGGCATCCAAATCAACGCGACGCTCGCGGATGTGCTGGAGTAGGTGAGTGACAAACACCGACTCGGATGGAGCGAGCGGGAACGAGACTTGTGTGGCTGAGAGTCCGAGCTGTGTAGTCTGATGTTCTGTCGGCAACCATGCAAAGACGTGGAAGCGGAAGGCCGCCGGCTATCCCCTGCTTGCGGCCCCACGCCGTTGGTTGGGTGTTTTTGAAACCTTGGTGATTGGCAACGAGAATAGCGTCCCAATGTTGTTCGGTTTGTTTCCAAGTGGGTGGTACGTGGGAATGGGAAAAGAAATGGTCCGGTCGCCGCCGGGTGTGGTGGTGTAAATGGTTCGGAGCGCTGGCTTCGCCCTTCCGCGCCATCCACACGGTTCACGCAGAACTGAATTTTTCCTATGTTTACAGGTTAGCAGCCAACACTGCACACCTTTTTCTTGAGCCATACGTTCGGAGTATGTAGTATATTTACACAAGTGAACCAAAGCTTACCTATAAAATACACCCCCCGCGGAGCGAAGTGGCTTGGCAACGGCGCGCCGAACAGGAAGTAGTAAGCCAGGTTCCAACCTCGGGCGGCGATGATATCGAACCACGCTACAATCTACGAACGAATGCTTGCTTCTGGCTATGTCGGCGCGAATGCTTATGTGCTTCCAAAAGTGCAAAGGGAAGAAATACATAATAAACGGACACCATGCGAATTTTTCCGCTGATCTGCACGGCACAAGGCTTCGCTTGACATGCTCTGTACTTCTGTGCCCAAAAGTTGCAATTGGCAACAAGGCGCTTCAAACGAACAATGACGGCGATGCCTTCCGGCACGCTTCTCTGACTGCGAACTCTTACCGTTCCATCCTCGAAAGAATCGTACACAGAATGCAAATACCGTCGAATTACATGCAAAGATCGCTGATTGAAGGATTTACGGCAGAGCGTTCCCGCTCGCTTTGCGTGAACACGGCTTTTGGCACGCCAACAATTTTGATCTTCGGCGTAACCTTCCGGTCCGCACAGCAAGACGGGTTTCTCTGCTTCTTCCTTTCCCTTCCTTGTGGTCTTTCAGCGGTTCCACCAGCCTCCGTGGGAACTCGACCACCATTGTCTGGTGTAGACGAGACGTTTGGGTCCATCAACGGAAGATGGAATGCGGCGGGGTTTCCACCCACGCTCTCACGCCCATCCGTACTTCCATACGGCGCAGCCAGCCTCGCGAGGGCAGTTGGGTCCAAGGACAAATCCATGGCTGCGAATGACGTGGAGCGATAAAACGGGCCTAAGGCTATAGGCTGACAACCTATGCTGACAGGTTAACAGCCAACACTGCACACCTTTTTCTTGAGCCATACGTTCGGAGTATGTAGTATATTTACACAAGTGAACCAAAGCTTACCTATAAAATACATTTCCCAATTGGGGCTCCCTCTAATAGAAAAATAGGCTGGCCACGGTAGTTGTGACTGCATCATGGGCGCTGTGTTCTCTGCCTTGGCCTTGTCCAAGCCTTGTCGGGTATGTGTGTCCTGCTTGTCCGCGTTGTCCGGCCCTCCTATCATCGCCTTGTCGGGCCTTGTCCCCTGTTGTTTATCCCTTTCTCCACCACCTTGCGCTTTGTTTCGGGGGTGGCTATGAATGCAACAGTGATGTAGCGCTACCAAATTTGATGACATCCTGTTCCCCAAAAATTGCTTGTTGTTTAAATTCTGTTCGAGGCTATAGGAATATACTTACAAACGTTTCCACCAACATTGAACTGCAGGGAAATATCCTGCTGAAGCTGTTTGGTGCCTATGCTGGTACAATTTGTCTTGACGTTTGTGTTGTTGGATGTTTGACAAACTGAAGTTTTTGGACCAAACCTTCAACTTGTAGATTTAGCACTGCCCTATGCACAGACAAGCTCAGGCAAACAGTTTTGTCCAATTACGCAGGATACTTCGTTGTTCCCAGCTACATAAATGCTACCTGTTTTGGCGTAGTTTGTCATTGCTGAGCATCCAATCTTACTTTGGTTCAAAAAACGGATTTCCATAAAAGGTCCCCAAAGTTCCAAGTCTGCCAACTGTTTTTCTGCCAGTATCACTGAGGACGAAGAAGAGGAAGTTGGAAAGACCTGTTTGCGGTAGTCAAGAACAAAGTCTTGAGACCAAAGAACAAAGTCTTGAGACCATTTTCAAAAGAAGACGGGGCAAGATTTGGTTAATACTCTATCTTGAGTCCACTTGCACCTGTTGTCAGTTTTCCTTTTTGGAGTGCAAAGCTGCCCATGAAAATGGCGCTGGCGAAGGGAACTAAGAAATCCAGCTAGATGTTGTCTTCATCTGCTTTACATTCGGTAGGGGTGCCTTCTTCATGACTGGTTTCGCTACTTACTTTAACTTGGACCAGGAGGAGACACACCAGGTACAGTAAGTTGCGTACCGGGCCTCAGCATCCACCCGGCACTTTTGGATCACTTGAGAGGCGGGGAACGAAAGCGATGACAACAACGAATGGGAGAACTTTGTTTTTCGGTTCTTCGCGTAGCTCACGCCGCTCCGCCGCTGCGCGCGCTCGCCACAAGTGTTTCTCAATTCATGTTTGTGATGTCGTGTCCCTTTGGGGGGGCTGAAAGTTCGGGTCATGATTCGTTCAACACTTGTGCTTTTTACCGGACAAATGGCGTGTGATAGAAATTGGCAACAGTGTTCTGCAAAAAACTACTTAGCATGATGTTTGTGATGGCGATGACAACAACGAATGTGAGAACACCTTAAAAAGCCGCTGGGGATGATGTTTGGCGTGTCCCTTTGGGGGCGGGAGAGGCCCACCTTGATGTCGTGTCCCTTTGGGGGAGGCGGAGAGGAGGCCCCCCCTAATCAATATCGCTTCAATTCGTTGAGGCGCGGGGGCGGTCCTATTGATTCGCTTCACACGAAGTGGGAGGGGCGTTTGTAATGATGTTTCAATTGATCCCTTCGATTTTGACCCATCTAATCTTAGACTAGAACTTCAGCTGACCTCCTTCGGAGATCGCTTTCGTGATTCGGGTTTGTGTTTAGGACGATTAGCGTGGAGTCCATTTGCGCCTTTGCATTGCTATTTGCGTGGAACTGCTGACAATTTGACCATTGTTAAAGCATAGAACGTCCATTTCGGATTGGTGTTTGCATTGTTACTTGTAGGGAAATGAGTGCCTCTTCAAAGCCTCTGGAGGCATTCTGTGAGTCCTGTCAGTTTACACATCTTGCCTTGCCGTTAAAGTTCGGGTTGGCCTCCTGAAATGTTACTCTTTCTTTTGGAGCTTAGAACGACCTTGGGATTGGGCGGTCCGCCTGCTGAGAGCGTATTGAACTAGACTAGACGGTTCAACCCAGCAATGATAGTGGAAAGGTCTCTGGCAAGGACAATCAAAACTGGACAGAAACCAAGCTACTGTACCTTCTTTGACTTGAGGCCTGCTTTGCTCGACTCCCTTTTGAGGTGGTGGGTGGTGTTCAGCTTCGGTTGGCAGTTCAAGGCTAATGTTCAGTCAATTGAATACCCCTTATTGGGAGCAGTGTTTGGTCATTCCTGCCTCAAGTTTTGGCCTACCTTCTGATCCTTCGCTTCCGCTTTTTAGCCCGGAAGAACTGACTAAACTGGAACAGGGTGACGCACCTGGTAGAAGCAAGCTAGAAAAATCAACCAGGCTACAAAAATCAGAGCAGTAACGTGGCTGAGAAGGGGAGAACTACAAGATCTTTGAAGGCAGGTTGAAAACCGTCTCCAAAATGCTTTGTCATGGAAACATGCAACGCTCATAGCGCAGGACTCCCTTCAAATTATTCCGGCGTAAACCTTAGAAAGAAGACGCGGAGATATTCGGAAGTTATTATAACGCACAAAGAACGAACAAAGACAGCCAGAGGTCCCGGACCCCTCTTCGCTGTCGACAACCTTGTTGGAGACACCGGAGACACAAAAGAGGGCGACCCAAGCGACCCAGCAGAGCAGACAAGCGGAGGGAACCCGACATATACGACCCCTTCTAAAGTAAGAACATGTAAGAACCAAATAAAATAAACCTGGCTGAAGAAACACCCAGTGGAAAACCCTTATGCATTTCGAGACCTAGGTTCTTGCACCGCCTGCACTGCCTTGCGCCGTCTTGCACAGTCTTGTGCCGTCTTGTACCACCTGTGCCGCCTGCGCCTTTTTGAACCGCTCTGACATACAACCAGTGTGCGTCTGGAGTGCTGCGAGTGCTGCTCAGGGCACACGCACGCCAGCATAGAAATACGGATGGAGCGAATGGTGCGGATGGAGCAGCTGATGCAAATCCCTCTCGCAATGGTTTCAAACTAATCAGCACACGGCACAGTATCATGTTAGGAAAAAGTTTGTTAGACCAAGTGAATTTTGCTTTTGGCTCACTTCCAAACCCAAGCTTTGTTGGCATGACACAATGAAAAATGAAAGCAAACGGAAGGCATTCGTCGTCCCTCTGAACATCAAAATCACCTAGCCCCGCTGGTCGTGACCTCTGAGTAGTGCCGGTTTCGCGCAATCTGTATCATGGTGGCGGTGCCCTGACTTGTGGTGACTTGTGAGGGTCCCGAAGGATGTGTTGTGATATATATATCTGTAGCCAAACTTCCAGCTGAGCCTTCAGCTACCTTGGTGATGCGCGTTCTATGTCTTGAGCAGAATTTGTGGCAAAATGTGTGGCGGGTTTGCTGCGTGTTGAAATAGTTATAACTAAGTAGGTGGCACACATAGCCGCTGCCAACTTAATGGTGAGTTAGCCTGGTCTTGAGTCATAAGTAGTGGGTCAGCTAGGCTTGAGGTCTTAAACGGGATCTAGCTCAGTGAGCTAGCTAAATGCTGGCCCAGCGCTGAGGAGGCTGAGTCGTAAGGAGCTAGTGGGCTAGGCATCAATTGCCATCACGCATTCCTGTGGAAGAGATTGGGAACGCTGGATGATCGAACTGGCCTCTCTCTTCCATGTCCCCACAGGCTGATTCATTGCAGCAGGAACCTTGCAGTGAATTCAATCATCCGTTCCTGGTGGAAGTCTTGCTCTTGACTGGTGGAGAAGTTAATTATGTTTCTTCCTCAAAATCTTGCCACTGTAAGGAACGACTCTGAACTTCCATGTTCCGTACCTCTCTGATCCATTCATCCAGTGCTTCATCAACCAAATCTGTTGGGATCCTTTGCAACCTGATGCAGCTCCGAAGGTAGATACTATCCAAACACAACGCACTCTGAGGCACCAGTTCTGCCGAGATGGACCGAGGGCAAAGCAGCAAAGGCTCGGAACGATACCTGCGCAGAACAGGCTTCCAATCAGAAACTGCGAACAAAGGCACAGTCGAACTAGGGCCGGTGACACAGTCACACGGTGATCAGAGCAAGTGGACATGGTTGCAAGTGGACATGCTTTTTCAGTACAGGCACCGAAGATTGTGCATCAAGGATCCAAATCTGAGTGCGCAGTCTGTCTCCACGGCTGCAACCTTGCCATGTGGTTCCAAGGAAAAAGGTGGATTGATATGAAAATTGGAGGTCCCAGCATCTCAGACCAGGACTTTTGACATAATATGGACGCGCAAACGCTGTCAAAAATAGCTGCTAAATAGCTCAAAAGGCAAGCACGCAAATGGTGTCCCTGTACGCATTGTTGTTTTTGTTGTTTCGTAAGCACGTCACCTGCACCTGAAACAAGGGCCCCTCTTGCCTCTAACGTAGATGGTGAAAAGATTCGAAAAGCAATCTGAGAAAGCGACACCAGCACGGTGACCCCTTTCGTTTGGCCTCCTTTTTGCATATTTGGCTCGTAATTCTACCGAACCAGTTTTAAAATCGTAAACTTCTTTTGCTGATTGAGTGGGACACTTATAGAGATTCATAAGTAAGACAGCAAGTAGTTCACTCATCCGATTCCGTTGAAGTGTATAGACTGCTTAGTACACCTTCCTCGCATGAAGGTTGCTCTCTCGAGGACCCAACCATGATGCAAAGGCCTCACTGGAACAAAGCAAGTGTAAATGTTGGACTCCGTCGATGAGGAAAAGATATGAAAAAATAAAACATTTAAAAGAACATCAAACCAGATTCTCTATAGAGAAAATGACTGCATATGGAGAATCAATCTGTTTAGTTGTATCAACAAGTGCTTACAGCACCTAAGCGCTTGGCAATCTCCACAGGGCTCGGCACTGAAGCGCTGGAATTCCAGCCCACATTCCCCTCGGTGCATAGAAATGTTCAACATGCAAGAACAACCGCAAATTTCTCGTGTGGTATGCTGCCTCTACCCTATGGTTCGAAGGGACAAGAAACTATGTATCTGCCACAATCACAACTGCCAAGACTATCACAGGAGATAGAATCTCCCAGCACATATCCAAACTGAGAAGGGCACTCACAACAGCGACAACTTCCACCATTAGGCCAGGTCTATCCTCACCCCCACACATGTGGCTGAAAATGCCGATGTTTGATCTTTATAATAGTAGTCAGTGCATACAGTGACAAAAACCTAAATGGAGCACAAAAGGTAACCTGGCGCTGTACAGCCCTTTGCCAGGGTGTATTCGGAGAAACAAACTAGCAGCCTTCAACCACAATTACCTCAGCATAGACCCAAACATCTGCCAGCAGCACCCTGCAGCGGCCTTCAGTGGCACAGCACCCAGGCCCCAAAAGCGTTCTCTACAAAGCGCACACTGCCATGGACATCTCGCAACAGCACCCTACAGCAGCACCGTGCAGCAGCACCAGCACCCATGCTCCACAAACCCTCACGGCCACAAATGCGCAGTGGACAGTGATGGCAAATTTACAACCCGACTGAAATTCACCCATGGTCGCATCTGGCGGCAGGGGCTTGGCCACAGAAACACCACCCCAATCCCTTCAACCAGCAAGAAGATTGGCAGAAATTCGGAGGATCGCCAATCGCTCCGAGCGACTAAAAAATTGAGACGCGAAAGGAGACGCAGCATGACGCAGCCATGAGAATGAGACTTCTGCAGTTTGGCATGTTGGATATCAAGCTGGACATTGACAAACACAAAGTATAAAGAATATCCCTACCCTTTCCTGAGGGGGGACGTCGAAAATTGTAAGTTACATTTTCCTATGCGGAGGGCCTCAAAAAATGTAATTACATTAACTTTGAGGTGGCCTCAAAAAAGGTAACTTACATTTTTGAGGCCTCATGGTTGATTTCCCGGGGAATGACCTCAAAAATCTAAGTTACATGTTTGAGGCACGGTGGCGCGCTTACATGTTTGGACCCCCCCTCCTGAATCCTCTTGCTGTCAAACAGGAACATACATGTTCCCACTTAAGTGAGTCATCATCAACAAAGAAGAACAGGAAACACACCCAGAGCAAAGTGCCAAGAAACAGGAACATACATGTTCCCACTGAAGACCGCAAAGGAAACCCAAACACAACAGAGGATCACATTCCATACACAATAAACAATAATGGAGAACAATAAAGGAGAGGCTGCCTGTTCTATTGATATTCAATGCTGTTTGATCCCCTGGTTTCTTGCCCCCTGCTTGTGCTTCGTGGCGTCGGACATGTGTAATTTTCAATATGCTAAAATGTAAGTAACTCAGGGGGACACTCCAGTTCATTGTAAATTCTGGGGAGTTGGGCATGTGGCAAAAATGTAAGTTACAATTTGTGAGGTCAAACGTTCTCACAGAACCCATGTATTCCCTATAAAATCTGAGGGTTTGGATGTGTGGACTAATTGTAAGTTACAATGTTTGACGTCTGCAAATCTCACCTTTTTGCCTGTGTCCGGGTCCGGAGGCTATGTTTTCCTTGGTGTTGAGGCATCAGTTTGTGTGTGTATATCATCAGGATTTCCGCTTGGCTTCATTGGTGGCGTCTGGAAGCTTGCGCCGACAGGGAGGGGCCGTGGTGGAGGGGCCGGGGTGATCTGCCAACGCACCCTAGGGGGGAGGTAAAAAAATGTAAGTTCAGGCCTCCCAGGTCGCAAGTTACATTTTCCAGACCCCCCCTCCCCCCCTTCTATCTGCCGACCCCCCCTAGGGTGAGGGGTAAGTTCCCCAAAGTGGCAGTAGAGCACACTGGACCTGATCGAATACACCAAGTAAGGCCCTCTCTCAAGCAAGTGTGCGAGCGGCAGCGATGCACACTTTCATCTACGGCACGGAGTGCAGTATTGGGCTTCAGTCTCTTGAGCCAAATGAATTATGCGGCAGCTGGCCGAAGAGAAATATATACCAGCTAACTACGGACAACAGGTGCTACACACGTATAGCGTAGACACGCCTAGGGGGACCTAGGACCCTACAAAACACAAACAGACACAAATTTTCTTCGCGTCGAAGCTTACGGCTGCAAAACTACAAAGGGTTGCAAAAGAGTGCAAATGAATTACTACAGTTCTGGCATCGCAGAACTTGACCGTAGATGCTATTCTGGCCCTTAAGTCTATGACGTCAGACAATCTAAAGGGACTCTCAGAGATAGAGTCTCATGAATCTGTACAAATCTACGAAAGGCATATCTTGCTGTAAACTTTCCGTAATGCCGGAAGTGTTTCAAGGCTTTTCAAATCTTAAAAGCTTTAAGGAGTTCTCAGGGAATATATAGATCTAATCTAGTGCAACTCATGAAGCGCATTTGCCGGAATGTCGGCTATGCTTGGACGTCATTTACCATCTTCGGTACCCTCGATATCCAATGTCCCAGCCGGATTGCCACCATGACGAGGAAGAGGCAGAGGATAGGAAGAGGCAGAGGATTGCCACCAATCTTGCCTTCTCCACTGGGCCGTTCTTTTGTCCTTCTGCCTTCTGTACTGAGCAGATGCTTCACCTCGGACACGAACGCTGGATCTTGAGGTCTTGAGGCTAATGAAAAGTTACACTGAAACGGGTGATGATAGGCTTCATCACTGCTCTTAAGGCAGAAATCTAAATGGTTCAAATGTTTCAGGTACTCATTGGCCTTTATGAGGGTTGAATGTCGATCCTGCCTGAAATGTCGGTTGGCAAAGATGTTCGCGTCGCACACAATGACGTCCACCTGGTCCGCAACTGCCGTCGCCAGAATCTTGGCGAGCGCTTCCTTCCCTGTCGTTATGCAATGATTAAATGCATAGGAGTTCAAATGAAATGCGCAAATCCGTAACTCAGGGAGGTGCGTTCGCTTACAATCAGCCATCCTTCCAGTCCGGAATGTCGGACTTTCGTGGTACAAGGCCTCTGCATCAATGGGTGAACGTCGTTGTCGCCTGGGCAGTGCCCAATGTATCTGGACAAAAGACGACTCCCATATTCTCGGCAGGGTCTGCGCCTTCTTCAAGCGCTACGCGAAGATTCACGCGGACCCCTTTATCGGTTGTTATGCCCCCCTGGGTGTCCTCTTCGACCTGGCCCCAGATAACTCTAAAAGTAGCCGCGTGCGCAAGCCAATTAAGGCGATCTGATTCAAGTTCAATGCGGCGTAAAAGCTCAAGCCGAGACGTAACGCCGTCTGTTGAGCAGACACAAGCGATTGGACGCGCTTGGCCATCTGGCATTGCTACAAGACACATCTTGTTATATTGACGAAAACGGTCGCTGTGTCTCTCCAGGCCGCCCGCTTCAAGAAGAACCGTTACAGGGGCGGTATTCCGGGCCAAATAACGCGGAATGACGCTATATTGGTCGGTTTGCTGGAGGTCTCGGGGCAACTGCTGCTTCCCGTTAAAATGAGGAGGACGGATAATGTCGCCCATGTTTAACAGCAAAACTGAGACGTGTTCAGTGGAACGGAGGAGCTTTGCTTCCTCGAGGTCGAAATCGCCTTGGTTTGCTCGGAAGCCAGCCATGTAGCTCCGGCTTAGGTCGACTATGTTCCTCATCTCCTCGCCGGAATATCGGCGGGACTTGTCGTAGAAGCAGCTTGGTCGGACGATCGGATAGGGGGCGATGTCTGACTGGCTGTTCCAGTGCTCGACGACAGACGGAATCTCGCTGGCATGGTAAGTCGGATGGCGTAAAACTGCGGCGTGCTCAAATGCCATGGTAGGTGCAAAAATCTGGCGCGTATGTGGAACATCATGCGCAATGCGCAATGACTCGGACCAAGGATTATACTCATGTCCCGTAGGGAGTGAGTTTACTCAGTTCATCAAGCGTCGAACATAAAAATCCTTAACTGTCACACTGTCAGATTCGCTGAAGTGAACAAATTCTCAATCCGTGTTTTCCATCAGGAAGCTATGCAGTGACTCCAGACTCGGAATGTCGAGTCCGTCAAGCAAATCTACAGCTACGGAAGTCTGCGCGTGAAACAATCCATGATGACTTCCCAGTGGCAAAAGACAGCGAATAAGCTTGGAACAGAAACGATAAGGATATACCTGAGCTAACTTCGTTCTGCTTCCAAAGCCTGGCGCTGAACCTTCCAGTGGTTGATGCTGATGTTGAACACCCTAGCTTATTACTACATCTCGAAGACCGGTGATATGACATTTTCATCGAGATTGTGTAAAAGAGATGTTGGTTTGTTGTAGTAATAGCCATTAGGGTCCTTCATTCCAAATGAGCACATATCAAGAGTGCCATAGGTAACACCATATTGCGACAAAAGACGTTGGAAACATCTGGTGTACCATAATGCTGAAGAAGCCGGATTCTCAATGATAAAACGGCCTCCGTGTTCAATCCGGAATACGGCAATGCGACAGCAAAACTGGAACATTGGAAGAAACTTCTGTCGACGCTGGTCTCTGGCATAGCGATCATGGATATTGGTCATCTGACTCCACGGAGCACAGTGCGGCGCCATAAAGATGACTTTAGGCTTCTGCTTCTCGATGATCTCCATCGTCCTCTTACGACCGTCACTGGTCAAGATGTCAAAACCTGTTCTTAGGTCTATAGGCTGTCCAACACGCAGACCATTCATGGCAGCTACTTGACTTAGCCGCGCTGTACCTGCGAACAGTTCTAGAAAATCAATCTTACCAGACATGACTGGTTGCCAGGCATATATGTAAAGCCTTCAGCGCCAATCTGGGCTCCGTCGCTCTGAACTAAAGGGCTGGCATGGTCAGAGACCGGAATGTCGGTCCGTGCACTCTCAGAATTCAGTAGCGCAACCGGATCGAGCGGCACCTCAACATCTTCAATTGGATTTATGTCCTTTCTGACCTTGCTGATGTTGACCTTTAGAATACGGGCGCCTAAGTCTATACCAACCATACTACCTTCAGAACTAATCACCTTGCCTTTGATCCATTTACTACTGTGAGTTCCATCTGTTTTTACCTTGGTCTTCTGTCCAATAATAAATTTTATCTCCAGGGTCCAGGGTAGAATGGACCATCACTAAGTTGAAGTCTTGCAGAAATGTCTCGCTTCAAATCGTCTCATTGCTTGGCTTCTAAATAAGACTTCATGGCAAGTGTTCTGAGGGCATCAAAGTTCTTTTCAGGAAAAAGAAGTGACGCTGTTAGCTGTTCAGGTGTCATGTTCTCTGGATACAAGAGATCAGCACGTCGCCTTCCAAAAGCCATCTCTAAAGGAGATACTCCGCCAAAAGCAACCATTGAGTTCCTGGCAAGTGATGCTTGTCTGAGGAGTTGACGGTACGTAATCTCGTATCTGGATGGATCCTCAGTCGCGGCCTTAAGCATCAGGGCGATCTGCTTTTTGTACACGCGAACAGCTGCTTCAGCTCTGTTTGGCCATGGAGTACCAGGTCCTAAAGTAATCGGTCGGATATTCTTCCTGTTATGGAAGGCCTCAAGTTCAGTACCCATGAAACCTTGATCACCGACAAGATACGTGGGATTCAGCTGATATGTTTCAAAGTACTCTGGTTTCTGCTTCTGTTTTTTGCCGTTGCAGACATTGGCAGCAGTTAATGATCAAGAAAAGGAGTTTGGACTTCTCGCTGATTGCCAGTTCGCCGTGATCGACAAAGGTTAGTTCACCGAACGTTTCGCTTCTCATACCTGAAATGCTTGATCGTGATGGTGCTATCTTGGACTTCTGACATGTATCACACTGTTTGACTACCTTGTCATATTCTTCATACATCTTTGCAGGAATTGTCAAAGCTGATGTGCGTTTCTTGAACTGCTCAGTTGACATGTGATAATGCTTCAAACGCAGATTCAAAAGTTCTGTAGGATGAGACAGCTTTTCATGAATTCTCTGCAATGCTAACGGCAAAGTCATTGAAACCTTTGGCGCTTTCTTCTCTCTGTGAACTGTGGTTGGTTCAGGTTTCACGTCTTCCTTTGTTTCTTCCTGAGGATCTGGCTTCGCCGGCTCATCTGGTTCTGCAGGATGAGCATCTGACTTACGTGCTCCTGCACTTGAGCTTGGAATCTTTGAATGTTCGGACGGCGTTCCACAGACTTTTTAAACTTCCGGAACGACGGAGGTGCTGTTCATCATTTGTCAACTTTGATGATGGATTTCACCACGCATTGCTTTCTGAATATGTCGACTTGAGGTATAGTCCGACCTACGTGATCATCGACAGTGGCTGTACCAGGGCGATGGGTTCGAGGACCGCCATCATGCGTCTAGTGAAGGCATGTAGGCGTCACAAAAATTCAAGCAAGATTGATTTCTCCTTCGAGCCTTCATCAAGTCGATTCTCATTTGCTAATGGTTAGCAATCCAATGTTCGTGAGAAGCTTGTGATCTACTTTCAGGATGACCAAGCACCCACCGGGTGGATTTCCGCTGCAATTGACATCCTCGACCAAGGAGATGTACCAATTCTGTTCAGTGTCGAAAAACTATGCAATCTCCGCATGTCAATCGAACATACTCCAGTCGGCGACTATCTAACTTGTCCCTTGTTCGGCTTGAAACGTTTTTCATTGCCAGTGAGCACTTCGAACCATAATGTCTTGGACATCATGATGTTTGCCAGCCCAGTTCGAAAGCCGAATCATAATTTTACAGCAATCAATCCTTCGTTTGCGAAGCGTTGATCAATCATCTCAGAACAACCTTTGTCCGTCTGTCCGTCCGCGTAATATGTCCATTGTTGCCAAGTGGCTTCATTTGCCTCCCAGACATCTTCTGGATAGTGCTGGTCTGTGTGGTATCCGTATGAGTCCCATGACCAACTTGCTTCACGCGCACTCCAGGTTTCTTCGGCATTAGGATTCGACTGAGCCGACGAAGGCTCTTCGGTGGTTGCAACATTCGATTGTTGAAATTGATTCTGTTGCTTGCTTTTTCCTTTGCCTTTGAATGCATCTTTTCCCTTGAAACCTTTCTTTCCTTTCTTGCCTTTTCCATAGAAACCCGAGTTGTCAGGGTACTCTGCATAGTGCGCCCCTGCACCTTTGCCTCTACGGCTTACAAAGCCGGGTCTTTTATCCTTTGCCGCCCTTGGATGGTTTTCTGAACCTTCTTCCATGGCTTCTCCTACGGGTGTATCCTCCTTTGGCTGCTAACACCCAAAAATCGGATTCTGAGAACAAACTCACAAATCCTTCTTCGCCAGTTTCCTGATCCATCACCCAGTATCCGGATTCTTCCTCCAAGTCTCCTTCATCGAGGCTGCTCATTCAAATCGGGCTGAACTAAGAAGATAAGCGACATCAAGTTGTCAGACAGTGGGAAAGTTTCACGATGTGCTTGTTTCATGGCACCAATGTGTTCAGAACGGATTCTTTCTGCATTTTCTCTTCTTTCATTTGGATCTTGGAGCCCTTAAAGAAGTAAGTATTGCTGTTGCGAGAGGATATCAGTAAAGTTGAAATCATCTGGTTGTGGACCAGCTGAAAGATCTAATAAGCCCATCCAGGCTTCCATGACTTTCTTACTTGCGACTTCAAAACGAGCGATCCAACTGACAAATTCCCCGTTTCCGCGCCAGGTCCTAAAGAGCTGCATGAAACACCAGAGAAAGACATGATTTGCTCCTTTGACAAAGTAGGGACGTAACGTTTCCTTGAAATACGTAACGCCGCTTCTTTCGTTACGAAGCTGCTCATTGTCGAGCATTTTCTTGTAGTACTCTGCGTTTCCGGTCAATGCATTCTTTAATGAAGGACCAAGCTTCTCTGCGGAGAGCGTGGTAATATTCACCCAGTCATCGATCAAATCTTCAAACTCGAACCAAGATGACTGTCCATCAAAGGACGGGGAATCTTTGGCGTCATTTTGACACCTGTTGCTGGTTGTGTTTCATAGGTCCGGAATGTCGAACCTGACGATCTGGACTGCTGGGAACGATACTTGCGCAGTATAGGCTTCCTCTGGTTCCGACTCTTCCGGATGACTATACTCTTGTTCGTCGTCCGTATCTATGCTAAAGATCTGGACCATGGTCACGACTCTTCAGACAGGTGGGCTACTTGGTTGTCTCCTGCCCGGAATATCGGACAAACCTGCACGAAGCAAATTTGACCGTTGCGAAGCAGGAGACACAAGCTCCGCTACCACTTTGAGGGGTAAGTTCCCCAAAGTGGCAGTAGAGTATACTGGACCTGATCGAATACACCAAGCAAGGCCCTCTCTCAAGCAAGTGTGCGAGCAGCAGCGATGCACACTTTTCTCTATATGGCACGGAGTGCAGTATTGGACTTCAAAGTCTTGAGCCAAATGAATTATGCGGCAGCTGACCGAAGAGAATATATACCAGCTAACTACGGACAACAGGTGCTACACACGTATAGCGTAGACACGCCTAGGGGAACCTAGGGCCCTACAAAACACATGGGGGGGGGTTGTAAAATGTAAGTAAGCACGTCCCAGGCAACAAGTTACATTTTTTGTGGGGGGGGGTAACTTACATTTTTTGACCCCCTAGGGAGGTACCTGTAACTTACTTTTTTGAGGCCCCCCCTCCCGGCAGTAGCTTAAGGGGGTAAGGACCAAAGATTTTTTCGCTACCCCAACAAAAACAAAACACATTGAGAATGGAAAAGGGTAGTTAAGTGGAGTGTTTGAGTGATGGGTCCAGAACTAGAAAACGTCCTCCAAGAACCGGCGACACCATGCCACGAAAAGTGATCACCAAACCCGAAAGCTTGCGCAGCACCACAATGAGAGCGCTGTCTCGCGCACATGGATGCGAGCACCTCGATCAACACCCGTCCTTAACTCCTGCTGCCAGAACCGCTAGTGTTACCACACTGTTTGAAGAAAAATTGCGTTGTTGGTGAGGATTGCAGCTCACCTGGCTGACGTTTGGAGGAAGTCCCGTACGTAGTACGGGACGCTGGCTTTGGAGCTTTCCAGCCTGATGGTTGATCGTAGGAAATGCTGACATTTAGAGGAAATCTCCCACAGGGGCGTGCTTTTCCACACGCCCACATGCTAGAAGGGGTGCACAGTCTCAGCTTCGAGAACGCCAGTCCAACGGGGCTCAGTGGTTTCGCAGTGTCACATGTGCTTCGCTCAAACATCCCCGGAGATACTCGGTTGACATGCGCACATCCGGGTTTGCGGGCTCCATCTTGTTGCTCTTTATTGCGGGTTTCATGGCGCTGCTTTTGGTTTTGTACAATTGCTTTGGGAGGGGGATCCCATATATGTTTAAGGCCTTTGAAGTTCAAGGTATTAAGGTATTTTTGTACCATACCTATACCTGGCGAGCAAAACTCTTCATCACAGCCCTGCCTCTGCAACTAGCATGAAGGACTGTCTGTACACCTGAAGCCCCGAAGCTACAACAGAAAGCGGCGGCGCTCTGAACGAAGAAGTGGACGACAGGCTGGCCCGAATGCACAGCAGGAGATGACAGAAGGCAACGATGAGGAATGATGATGAGTCATGAGGATTGAAGGCGATGTTGATAATGATGAAGAGGGTGATGATGATGACGACGACGATGATGGTGGTGATAATGATGAGGGACACCGGCGCTAATACCAAGCCTTGCCCTGCGAGACGGCGAGTTTACACCTTCCCGCAGTGGCACGGACTCATGAAAACGCACTTTCCACCAAGGCCGAGCAAAAACGCATGGCACAGCGACATCGCAGACGGAATTTGGCCACACGGTGCGCCACAGACAAAATACAACAATGTAACGCCAAGCCTTGTGGACACCCCAATCATCCCGCTCCCCTGCGACACGCCAATACACCAGCATGCTTTCGTGGAAACGGACTTTCCACCAAGGCCGCGCAAAAAACTGCGTGGCGCAGCGAGGCAACGGTGTGCCACAGACTATCAATAGAATCCTGAAGTGTCCTTTGGTTTGGCCCCTTGGTGGTTAGGTAGAAGTTGGTTGTTTTTCTACTTTTCGTTTTACAAGAAATTATGTTTGTCCGTTAAAAGTTTGAGACAAAGGGGCTCAACAATTGTTGTAATTTCGTAGAACATGCTCAAGATATCCCAATTACACCACCGTGGAGCAGAAAAGGGGCGTCCGCCCTTTCCCGTTGTGTCCGCCCTTTTCTTGGCCATGTAGCGTTTCTATTCATTTGTGTCCCAGGTCTGTCACTGGTGGTGTCCGCCCTTTCCCGCTGCCCATGGCCATGTAGCGCTTCTATTCGTTGGCCATGTAGCATATATGCGTTTCAGGTCTGTCGCTGCTGTCCGCCCTTTTCCGCTTGCCTCTTGCAGCATGTCTATTCGTGTGTCTCCCAGGTCTGTCACTGTTGGTGTCCGGGCTTTGCCCCGGCACAGTAACAGTGACCACAAATCATACCACAAAAAAAAGCACAGCAATTTAGCCATAGTTGGCATTAGGATGACTTTCATTTGCCCTTTCTAACGCTGGCTACATTAATCATGCGCTACAAAACCCTCAAGTCAACCCGATGCTTTTTTTCATCTGAGCGCAAGCAGTGAAGAAATGATCGACAATATCGATCCAGTCAAAAAGGCTTGGGGATTCTGCTGCCAGACAAAATGAGCTGGGCAGAGCTGGGCTCTGGCAGGCCGGGTAGAAGGGGAGGCAGAGGCGGGCAGGCCGCCGGAACTGTGGGCGGCCCCGGTGTTCCAGGCCCGGGGGGGG